TGTGTATTTTTATGTGTATTTTTATCTGGAAGGAAAAGAGAAGGCCATTACATTTTCAGTTCTTACCTCAACCAGCTGCACTCGGCCATAATACTGACGATCAGGCAGTGGGTTGTTGGGATCCATATAAACAACTTCCATTTGTTGGCCCTATGTGAGAATGAGGATATAACATTGCTTCTTCACTGCTTGTTATGGGAAAGTGTTCAGATGCAATAAAATTTGGTGAAGCACATTAATCCTGTTGTTTAGGGGATTAAAACTAAGTGATGCTAGGAAAACTGTACATCTTTTTCTCAGGAAAGTTGTACAATGAGCACTGTGCTCTGGTGCCAGCAAGGTTTTCACTGCTTTTGCCTATTAACAACCTTGTTTTCAATTAAAACACCAGGACAATCAAATTGATGCTAGTCAATTTCCACAGGAACTATTAATTACTTTAGAATAAAAATTATTTTGCATTTTGAAACACTCTCTCTCTTGCATCCTGGTGCATCAGCAACTATGGTTATTATGGTAGTAATTTATGAGGTACATTTCCCAGTAAGAATCCTAGAACACTGAATTAGTATTTCTGACGGTGTGAGGAAACAAAGCACCCTCTTGAGAATTTCAACAAACAGTTAAAAATTTGTATTTTGGCTCTAAAGTGGTTAAATTAAAAAACTGTCAACCTAAAGTGCATTTTTCTTCCAGTCCCTTGAAGCCTTATAATTATGTTTAGTTTTAAGCTGGAAATAAAAAAATCTCACAGAAAATGAGATTAACTACACATGAAACCCAGGGCATCTCTTGCAGAGATGAGGCCATACTTGTTGACAAGTGTGCAATGCATTAATTAATGTTTTTTTCCACAGGCATATTCTACAGAGAAAATCCTGTTTTATCTTTTTATTTGCTCTCAAATCAGTTATGCTTAATAATATGTTATTTTGGCAACAGAGACAGATGTGTTGATGGCTTTGAGCAAAATGCAGTAAAATCACTTTTACAGAAATAGGTAATGGTTTTAATAGTTAATATTTTAATAGTTAAGTACTATAAGAGCAAAATTTGCCATAGTTGTTAAGTAACATAAAAAATATAGTATTGTATTGCTTATAAGAAAAAACTGTATTTTAAAGCTTACTGTTAGTCGTATATCAGGCTTCTTATCCAGAAGAACCATGCCCTCACTAGGTAAGCCAAAAGATTTCACTTGGTAACTTAGGAAGCCACCATATGAAGAAAGCTGTAACAAAATGCACAAGACCAGAGATACTTTACTGCTCTAATGCTTGATATTAACATAAATTTCTATTCCAGTTTATCTCACCTTCCAGCACTATAAATAATACATTTACTCTTTGTTCTTTAGAAAAAATATTAAAATATTGTTGTTTGGAAGAAGTTACTTTCTATTTTGTTTACTGTGTGTATCTGACACATGAGCAGATACTGTGTTCTGAAAGATTACCTGCATCATGGGGTTTTTTTCATATGTGGGTTCACACCACCTGTGTCATGGTGAAATCACATGGTTACATGAACACTGTTCTTCCCCTGACTACACAGAAGATTTGCATCAAGAACAGACATCTGGCTGACAGTGAAAGTGGTGGTGAACCCCATGAATAGCCATGGATGAAAAGAAGGCAGACTAAGCATGTTTAAAGCCAGCATTTTCTAAACTTACTGCAAACATGGATCCAACCAGGATTCCTTGCTCTACCTCCAGGACAGGATTTCTACTGGTATGAGCTTTGTTGTAAGCAGACTGTGACTGCAGGCTGAGCTGAGACCAGCTACAGGTGACCACAGGTGGCCTCAAACCCAAGTGAACACAGGGCTGCTCCCCAGAACAGAGAGAAAAGTATGGCTGAATCACCCAAGAAACGCAGCACCATCCCTGGGTGCTGTCTGAGGGACTCAGTACAAAACACTGGGAGCAAAGGAAGCCCCAGGCACAGCCTAGATAGTTTTTGTTCCAAGAAGAGCCTCAAAGGAAGGTTTGTGGGGTACCAGGTGAAATCAGGCATTTTGCCATGGATATCCTATTTTGGTTTTTGCATCTTTCTCATTTGCCCCCACATCTTATCCTTGGTTTTGCCATGGAAAAACTGCTTAGTCAGGTTCTGCTCTTCTACAGGTAAGCCAACCTTTGATCTAGCCCTTTGCATGTCTCTGATGAATTACGAACAAAATACTGATACCTCAACACTAAATTTGTTCCTTGAATCGCAGGTCTGTAATTAATGCTACTCTCCTTAACCAACTGTATTTTCAAAAGCGTAATTTGTAACATTAGCTGTAGTTTGCCAGCACCATCAAACCACTCTATATAAATAAGTTATTTTTAAAAAAACCCATTCAAATTCAAATTAGAGCTGACTTCCTGTTTAACAGGTTTCAGAACTGCATCATTTGAGAGGGTGTTTAATTACTTCTTTTTCAACATTTTTTTTTTTTAGAGGACAATATTGGTGTTACAAACCTTTGTATTTTGTATGTACAGTATTTATTTTGTATGTACAGTATTTATTTTCTAAAGCCAAGAGTGGACTATTAAACAGAATGTTAAAATATGAAAGAAAACGGGGACAACATGATCTGTATTTCTCAATTACTCTGTTTCTATACTGCTATACATTCTACATTTGATTCCCTTCTAACTTTGTAAACAAAAGACAGAGAAAAGAAAGAAAATATACTCTACTAAATATAAATGTTCCAGTGGAACCAGTTAAAACATTTCAGATAATGGAAAACACTATTTATACATTTCATCATAATGAAAAATAGCTGAAGTGATCTTGTTCATATTTTCAAAAAGAGATGCTATCACTGAAAGCAGACCAAACCCTGACATTTTCAAAACACAATAACATGAATAATTGGTAAGTTTATGAACTTTTAAACTCACAGCTAGATAGCACTTTGGTGGGACTTTCATTACTGCAGTATTGCTTGTGCTAAAATATACACCTATACACAGCATACAGCAAAAGCAGGACCCAAATTAGAACTATTTTATTTGCAGTGCTGTCGTTGTAAATAACAGCAAGTAATGGCAGGCCTAGGTAGATACTGTTTTATGCAGCATAAAACTCATAGCATCTTAATAGCTGTGTTTAAAAAGGGTTATTGCCTGCTTTATATCTTGTATGGAACCAACAAAATGTTAAACTTTGGTTTAACATTGTAGGTGATAACGTATGCTTTAACGTGAAATTTCTTTCAAAAATAATTTGTAGGCACTGAAACAATAACCTTTACAATATCAACAAAAAGCACCCCAACTAAATGTGCTGTTCACCTAAGATATATACACAGCTCTGAGCATAGGAGAGCAGGAGGAAAAATACTGCTCTAGTCTTTAAAATGAGGACTGGGAGAAACTTCAAAAATGGTACCATCTTTCATGCCTTGGTGTCTACACCATTTGTTTTCTCTTGTGTGCCAGTAGGATTGCATCTGAAAAGCCTGTGTGTCCTGCACCTGGCTGGTAATGTTGGCACTGTCAGAGCTCCAGAGAGGCTCGGTTGCCTGCAGGTCACCATCAGCTAAGTCCCCTGGTCGGTGTGATCCCCAGGCTGAGATGCTGCTGGCATTAACTGGGAGTAGAAAGCTGCTCCCATGCATGGGTTGACAGAGCAGCAAGCAGCCCAAAGAACACAAAGGGGAGAAAACCAGTTGATACTCTTCTCAAGCAACATTATCAAAAGCAAAAGGTTGGGGGTTTTGTGTGCCACTGAGCACATAACCACCTTTTATCCTTTTTGAAATCTGCCCAGGACATACTCTAGAGAATCTAAAGAATTCACAAGCCCTGTGTGTCCTGGGTTTCAGAGCAGCCACATTGGTAAGTTCTACATGTTCTGGGCTTCAGAAAAGCAGCTGAAGGTATCAGCTGCTTGAGACATTTGACCTATTTGAGCCACAAGACCTATCTGGCACCAAGCAATATGATTAATTCTGTGTTATCAGTTAATTTTAAAACTGTAATAAGTAAAATGTTGTGATTCTGGGCATGACAGTTAAGAGAGATAAGTGACGAGAGAGAAACTTATATAAGAAAATCCGTGAGACTCTTTATCAATGACTCTTTATCAGATGGCATTTACCTTCTCTCCCAGGTAGGATGGTGGTGCTTTCCAGTACAAATTATGCACAGAAGCTGGCAATTCTTGAACATCAGCCACCACACTGTTACTGACTGGATTGAAAGTGACTGGAATGTCCATATTTTCATCTACTGCCTCCAAGTGCCAGTTCCTCATATCCACAAACTAAAGAAAAACACATAAAGGAAACAAAAGTTTGCCTCATCCTTTATTTACACTTTACCAGCATCAAGTAATAAGAAGAAATTGTTTAGCCTCTGTAATTCCCTTACCATGAGATCCAACCCCTTCAGAGCCAGCCTAAAGTCTTTGAACAAGGGATATCTTATGGACCTCAAAAGAGAATGAAAAATGTGCCAAAGCTACTTGGGATGTAGGCATTTGGTTTGCCACCTGGGAACTAAATTCTAACTTCAACCACAGGAAGACATAGCCTTCTGGGGGTGACTAGGAATTGTGCACACAAACCTGAGGATACAATCTGGAGATGCTTTAAGTCCATTCCAAAATCAAACCCAGGGCACTAACTTCTAAGACAGAGTTTGGAACAGGTTAACTGTGAGGGAGGGCACATGGCATGACATTTTGGAGAGGCAGGCAATGTAGTCTAATATTCTGCCTCATTAATGCACATTTTATGTTTGTGGCTGTTGTTTCATGAAAGACCATGCCTCTTTTTTTCATCTTTATGCTTGCTACAGAAAAGAGAGCACAATATGTATGATGTACCAGAAGAGTTTTAGGTTCTGTTGGATTGCCCTTGACTGGCCAGAGCAATAAACCAAAAAAACAGACATGTTTTCATATTTGGTGAGGGCGAGTAATGACTAGAGGAAATTTTCTACTGATTTCATTTAGGCCACATTCTTACCTTTTGCTTATAAACAGTAAAGAGCACAATCTGGATATCTGGATTGCATCTAGTCTATGTTTAAACCTTAACTAAACTCCTCATCCACCATTCTAGCTCTTTTTTCCTTTCTCTTGCCTTTTTTCAAGGAGCTGTTGCTTTTATTTTTTCAGTCTTCAGCCATTTTACTATTCAGTTATTCTACTAAAAACCTTTGTTTCTCACACTTGATGTCATGTCTCTTTTATAGGGAGGAAACAAAGACAATTTTTACAATCTCTGTAGAATCTGTCACACAATTCTTAAGAATCTGTAATATAGGCAAGGAGAATGATGTGTGCTTATCAAAGCATCTTGATGGAGATCATTGACTTTAATGATGACATAGAGTTTGAAGATAAAGCAATCAAGATAAAGGCCAGCTCAACTTCAGTCCACTAGTGACTTGTTAAAAAACAGGTGGAAAGGGCCATTTCTGCTGAACAGCATACTCAGGATACACCCAATCTTAAAAAGGCTGCACTAAATCTCCACTTGGAGAATTGCTCAGAGAATATTTCTCATCCTTAGAAACTAACAAAATATATTTTCAACTTTGGAAGAAATCTGGAATTTCCTTAATGGAACAAGTGTAAGTTCATGATAGAAAAGAAAAAAAATCTTTGGTACACCTTGGTTCTACGACGATCCGTGCTGCGACAGTCGCTGGTTGCCCCAAAACAAAAGCAAGGTGTGCATCCCCTGGGGTTAGAGGGGTTCAGATAAAAGAATCCTGGCCTGCAAGTGTCACATGCTGCACCTTCCACATTTTCCTGTTAAAGCATAGTTCAAAGAAATTTCAGTGCTTTTCTTTTTGCTTTGCTGAGGTCCCCAAAACTTCCTGCACATGAAACAAATCTGAAAGAATATATATTTAAATGTATAGAAACAAATGAATGAAAATATGTGATTATCTGGATAGACTATATTCCAAATGCAAATAAAACTGTCTTGGAGGCTATCTTATGAGGTTTATTTCTAGTTTATAATGTGAAATGTAAACCACTGAGTAACAAATATTAGTCAGAGACAGCTGGTAACTTCCTTGCCAAAACCCTCCTGCTGGCTTTTGTAAACCCACAGTGTAAAAGGTCACTTGTGTAAGCTCACATTTATCACATTTAATTATGCAGATCAGAACAAAAGAAGATTTCCTAACTATAATGATGTGGTAAAATGTCAATTGACATAATACGGCTAAAAAAAGCATGGGACTTGGTTAACATCCAAAAGGCAAGATGCAGATGGATAAAGTGAATCTGTGCAGGGTACAGACTGCTTCAGTGATTCAGTGGGCATCTACTCTGCAGCTCCCTAACATCCTGCAAAACATAAGACCACCTGTAAAACTGACAGATATTGAAGCCATTAAAAAATGGTGTTTAATGTTACCATGATAATGCACATCCTGCAAAGTGTGATGGTTTTGTACAGCTGCATTTAATTTTTACTGAAAACTTAATAATAAATTCACTTTATTCACCCCATTATATGTGAAATAGTCACTGGCGTGCAAATCATGCTTGTGAATGCAGAATTAATTTGATTTATCTGACCTTGCAAAGACAAATTCCTGTCTGGGGATCACAAACATCTGGTTCTGTTCCATCTCTGTTACAGCTACATGGCACACAGTTAGGGAAACCATAAGTTCCAGGAGCACACTGATCACACTGACGTCCTTTTACTCCTGGTTTGCATCTTTATCAACAAACACAGACAAGAGAGTCAATAAGGGAGATAGGAATGGAGCATGTAAGGGAAAATAAAACAATAGGCAGGTGGCTATTCCAAGGGATTGCACGGCTATGACACAACTTTATGACTTCCACGGAGAAGAAGCAGCAGGTTAGTGTTGTTCTCAGATTTTGAATAGTGTAACATTTTAAACGGCCACAGGACTGACTAGGAATGGATTTGACTTTGAAGGATAAAAAGGCCCACAATGGAATTAGACTTCTGCAGCTATTCAGTGCTTGCAGTGCAGAACTACTCTCTCTGTACACCAAGGTGTAAAACATGGATGTAGAAGATAGATAAGCAGAGCTGGAAGAAGATTTATAGCTGGAAGATGTGCCTGGGCATTACTCAAGGTAGGCACCTGGTAACAGAAAAATGGGGAAATGCAAGCATATGAATATTTACAAAGAACTCAATCACCCACAAAGCTTGGGTTAGTTTACAACTGTTCACGATGGATAAAATCCATTTTGCTCACACTGAATAACTTAAATTTCCCATACCCTCTCCAAACACCTGAAAAGAGCATTGAAGCAAACCATTCATGCATTGTTTCTAACACATATAAGCCAAACTTACTTGCATTGTCCACTGGTTTTATCACATTCTGGGCTTGCCACATCAACAATTCCTTTTTCTGAGCAGTTGCAGCTTTTGCAGCCAGCAAGAGGATGATAACTGAAGTAATATTTCTCACACACTTCACATTTTGGCTTCACAGTTCGTGGAGGGCAAATGCATTTACCAGTCATGTCATCACAAAGACGCTGCCCACAATTGCATACTAGATCAAAGAAATTGTTCTACAAATCAATCACATCTCATCTCAGAACAATCAAATCTTATTGAATATGCAACAAATACAACCTTTACATATAGAAAACATTACTCTTTTCTCTCACTAGCTTAAAGTTCAGGGTCACAGAAACCAACTATGTGACTGCAACAATAGTTCCAAAGAGCAGGTTTAATGCTTGGCTCTTTTCCATGGATTCGTTGCTTAACTTCACCACAGACATTGTTTTATCACTTGCCAAACTTGCCTAAGGATTAAACGAATCGTTTTGGTGTCAAGGGCACAACTTTCATAACACAGTGTCTATAAACTTCAAGTATAGTATCTATGAAAGCAGCTGAGGACTGTTGGTGTTATCTATAGACCTGTTCTTATTATTAACATCAGAATATGAGGAATTAGAAATGCTGTGTCTCTGATTATCCATGGAAAAGCTTGAAGGTGTAAAATGAGATTAAACATTAACAACTTGGAAATGATTTAGCAGTCAGTGCAGAAAAAATCCATTTCACTGAAATAGTGGCAATATGGATTTTAACCAGTTCAGCTGTAAACCTACTATACCTGATCAGACAACACATGCAAAGGCACACTTCACCACGAGCTAGGTGTGCTTTAGGGGAATGGGATTTCTTCTGCCTTAAACTGTAAGCTATGCTACGGTGAAGCTAAAACAGCTTGACAAGCCTCTCACAGGATCAGGGTCTACAAGGAAAACAGGCTACAGTACATCTGCAGTAAATTCAGAGGATTAAGTAGCTGTCTGGGTCAGGAGCTGAAGGAGTGCAAGCACATACTTACACTTGCAAAATGGGAATCCATAGTAGCCGGTCTGGCATCGGCTGCACTGGCGACCGATGACGTTGGGTCTGCAAATGCACTGCCCTCCCAGGGGGCTGCACGTAGGGCTCCTGGCCCCTGCGCTGTGGCAAGCACATGGCAGGGCTCCGTTGTTGTAGAAAGCCACCAGTGACCTGACAGAGTCCTTACAGAAGGCTGATGATCGTTCTGGGCTATTTAAATTGAAATATAAATCATGTAAGTGCTGGCACTTGGAATTGTTATGAGAGTGCTTTGCAGTGGTTCAGTAAATTAGGGTCCTGTCTTTCAAACAGCTTGACATAAGGATGGCATCAGCACACATGCAAGGATACACTTTAATTAAATCAGGGGTGAATGGCTTTGAATATGCAGGTAAGAGGTTTTTTTCATAGCAAGCGCATATTAGTTGTATCAGTTCAGACATGCCAAGCAAAATACTAAATACCAAAGATGGAAATACCAAAGACAGGAAGATGACATAGATTTTCCTCTTTTGTACTGTGAGCAATAAAGCTCTACCTTTACATTGCATTTGCAAAAGAAAGTCATGGAAAAATGACTCATGGAAATTCAATGGGCTAGCACAAGCCATGAAAAGCATTTAAATGTAGCACAATTATAGGGATTTAAGACAGCTCTTTAATGCAGAGTAGAAGTAATATTATTCCCAGTTTGTTGTCAATGTTCAGTTTTTTAGAAAGTGATGCTTACTCAATATAAAAACTGTTTCCTCCACATTGGGTGATAAAATCAAATGATTTGTCCACTGCCTTTTTGTCAAGAATTTTGTAACTGTAGGTGTCTGCTGGAACAACTAAGATATTTTCCTTAAAACAACAAGAAAGCTAAATTGTACATTTCAGAGAAAAACAAAGATACAAGCTAAGGCATTTACATATTTAAATGTTGCTTCATTATACATTCTGGATTTTTTCAAAACCTCTAAGATTTTAACCGAAAGTAAGAAAATCAACTTTGCATACTTCCTTCAAAGTTGTGATGCTACAAGCAGTGTACAACAAAAACAGAGAAACCAAAAGCAGTGCAAAAGACCTTAAAAATCTGAAACACAACATTAAAAAATTTATTCTTTTTGATTTTCCTCTTTGCATCTATCTCTAAATGAATGGTGAAACTGAGAATAACATTTTCAAGTACATTTATGCAATACACATACCAGAACCAGTGTTCTTCCGTGCGGTATCATCACTGTAACAGAGACCATGGGTTCAGAAACGTCAAGCTCAATTTGGTTTGCTGCAATCACCTGAACCCGACAGCCAGAAGTATGAGGGCAGAATGAAGCATTGAAAGTACCTGATGAAAAAAATACATTGGGTTTATGTGAGAAGGTTTTGGTTGTAGGGGGCTACTGGGGTGGGCTTTATGAATATCTGTAAGAAGCTTCTCCTATGTCCAACAGAGCCAATGCCAGCTGGCTCCAAGACAGACCCAACACTGTCCAAGGCTGTGTCTGACCATGGTAACACCCCTGGAATAACAAGAAAGGGGGAAAAGCCCAGCTCAACAGCAGGTACAGACAGAGAGATGAGAGAGAACATGCAAGAGAAACAACTTTGCAGTCACCAAGATCAGTGAAGGAGAGGGACGAAGTGCTCCAGGTGCTGGAGCAGAGATCTACCTGCAGCCTGTGGAGGAGACCCACACAAGAGCAGCTGGATGCCCGAATGGAATCTGCGGACATCTGGGAATCCCCCACTGGAGCAAGCTCCTGGTAGGCCGACCCACACTGGAGCAGTTAGTGAAGAATTGCAGCCCAGGAGAATGATTCATGTTGGAGAAGTTGGTGGAGGACTGTCTCCTATGTGAGGGATCCCACACTAAAGCATGGGAAGAGTGTGAGCAGTGTCTCGCTGAGGAGGAAGGAACAGAGGTAACCTGTGATGAACTGAGTCCAGCCCACATTCACTGTATCCATGTGCCACTCAGTGGGAGGAGTTGGAGAAATCTGAGAGTACAGCTGAGCCCAGGAAAAAGGGAAAGGTGGAAAGTGTTTGAAGCTTTGGCTTTAGTTCTCAATACCCTGCTCTGATTGGATTGGTAACAAATTAAGCTAATTTTCCCAAGTCAAGTTTGGTTTGCCCATGTTGGTATCTGGTGAGTGATCTCTCCATGTCCATATCTCCTCCCACACGCCTTTTGTTGTATTTGCTCTCCCCTGTCCAGCTGAGGAGGAGAGTGGCTTTGGTGGGCACCTGGTGCCCCATCCAGGGTCTACCCAACACAGCTCCATATCCCAAAATGCTGAGAAAGGAAAGGAGTTAGGTCAAATTTAGATGCCTACCTGACCACACATGTCCTGCATTCACATGGACTTGCACAGAGAACACTGGGTGTGCAGGCTGATAAAAATGTACCACAAATACGTATCTGCCCAAGTGGGGCACTCTGCCACTCAAGGTGATCTGATTCTGGAGAAACAAGAACAACTCTGGTGTTAAATCACAGAATAGATTTGTTTTGTCAAACACTCTTGGGCTTATCAGTTGTGCTCAGTGCCTGCAGTGAAAGAGAGGGGTCTTAGCATCTCTCAACAAGTTCAATTTCTTCAAGGAACATGGCATTACAACTGCATGCTCTTTTTGCCTGCTGAACACATTTAACATTCTTCTGCAGTCTGTGAGACTTGTGTAGTTCAGAAAGAAGCCGTTGTTTGGGGTTTTTTTTTTCCCTTTCTTTATATTGTCTCTGTGGCTTACCCACTTTGCAACACTCATCACATCATCCATGATTCTCTTACAGAGTTTCATCTATTTAACTCCACTGAGAACATAGCTTGTGACTTGCAACACAAAGTTCTCAAAATGTGAGGTACCTGTAACGGTGTCAAGGTGACTCCATGAACTGAACCAGCAGGTAAAGCAGCACTCCATGGATCATGCAGTATATTCTCCTGTACTTCAGAAATCTTCCCATCTTTGAATGCATCCAAAACCAAAGCTCCTGGTGGAGTTTCAAAAACTGAGGGAATGCATGCTGCACTAAACACAGAAGCACAGTAGTTATCCTTGGGGCCAGGAGAAAGTTTTAATCACAACAGGAAAAGCTGCTGACTTACAAAAGTCAGTGTATTAGACCGTACTGCAATTGCTAATGCAATAATAACCCCTGTACCTATTTGGATTGTTTGTGAATGATCAAAAAGTAAATGGAAACAAGAGGTATGGATTCAACTTATAAAGGGGAAAGTGTGTGCACTTTTAATATATGAACTGATTTTATTCACACAACATTTCCATAACTTTAAGTTTCAGTGGAAAGAATTTGCTACAGAAGAGAAAACTTCTGGGAATTACAAGCACAAAAAATTAAATACATTTTAGTTAATCCAGTTAGTTACATTCACCAGAATCTGTACTAATATTGAATTCTCAGTTCTACAAATATTTGCATAGGTGTATCCTTTACACATGCAAGTTTTCCCACTGAAGTCAATGGGACTACTTAAGTACTTAGAAGTTAAGTATATACTCAAATATTTGTAGAATCGGAGCCAAAATAAACAACAGTACTCCTTGAAAGCATCCTTATTCATTCACTGCCATGTTTAACTATTTTTTCCTTGGCATATTTAATTCTAGATTGAGAAAAGAATTTTCCAAGACTGCAGAATATTTTTGGGGGTTTCCTGCTTTTATTTGTTCACTTCTAGTAAGTACTCAACAGACAATGATTAATCTGTGCTCAAGACAGGTCCAGAACTGGAATGGCAAGTATGTTTCAGGGCCAGAACTGAGATGTATTTGCCAGGCCTGTGTGGGAAATCATGTGCAGTATCCACTTACAATACTGTTAAACTGAGCCAAGTCTTTGCATCTTTCAACTTGATGAACTTAAAACACTTTCAGGAAAGTAAAAATGCTGCCAAATAACAATAAAAACCTACAGGAAACAATACAAATGTAACAAAAAATACCCAACACAAAGCCCAAGTAAAATATGTTAATTTTATTTTGAATCATGTTTTTTACCCATCCTCTTTCCCTGTTCTACTCAAAATATAAATGCCTGTATTTGCAATATAACTTTGGTGCAAGGACAAGTATCTTCAGTCTTAGAAAGCTGCTCTCAGTGGTAACACTGAGCAGGAGAGTTAAAGCTGTGATTCAATGCTATGCATGCGTGGAAGCCAAGCACAGTCACATGTTTTTATACAATTTATTATCCAGATTTTTCTGCTTTCTGTTTCAATTCAACCATTATATTAGAAGCTACCATTTGGAAAACTATTAGACCAAATCACCAACTCTTTATACCTCTTCAGTCCAGAAAATGACATTTACTTTTATTTTCAGACCCTTCCCACTGCTAAATCAGTAGGAAGGAAGCCTTAGGAGTAGGCATCACGAGGCACATCCTGGGGAGTGCAACAGGCACTGAAATGTGGACGTCCCTAATTTGGAAGCTGCAGTGACAGCTCTCTGTCCCCAAGAACAAAAGATGGGGAGGGGAAGAGCTTTAACAGGACAGAGGAGATGCTCTGCAGAATCCAAACCTGACCACTTGGGAAGGCAAGGTTCAGAGCTTCACAGCAAGAGAGGAGCTGTCAGCCTGGATCAGCCAAGCAGTACATGAGTCCCCTAATTACTGGTCCTATAAAATGTGACGGAGAAGAAGGATCAGCTGGCATTACTGTGTGAGGTGAATGATGAGGGCACACCTACCCTAAGGGTCCCACGATGACAGAGAAAAGGGAATGGCTTGTTTGGGAACCAGGGGTTTGCATGCTGAATGATTTGATGCTGCCAAGTTGAGCTGGTGAACTTGTGCCCAAAAGGGCAGTCACATACCACACCTAGTGACAAATTAAAGCCATTTTGGTTCAGCTAAAGCAGTAACATGAAAAGGAACAGTAAGCATTTCAGGCCACTAAAGTAGGAATGATTTTCCAGCTTGGACACCTGTCATACAGTTCAGGATGGCACATGAAAGACGCGTGTTTTCTCACACATAAGCACTGGGTAGTTCAGATGGGCCAGGAAAGGCTGTTATCAACAAAATTCTGTGCAAAGACTGTCTAGATTAACACTAATATTTCAGCTTCTTTACAAAGACTACAGAAGTGGCCTACAAATCACCTGTGAGTCACCGAGCGAAGCTTCACTCTAAAGAATTAAAACACCACTTAGTCTACCTTTCAAGGGTGTCCTCAGATAATAGGAAGGATAAAACTAAGCAAGTTACCTTCCATCACTGTTACTCCTGTAAGCAGCTATGCACTGTACTTTAGGATCCACGTATTCTGGAGAAAATTCTTCAGCTGATATAATGCAAACCTTGTGCTGAAAAACAAGCACAAGGCACAATCAACAATATCGTAAATAACAGGGCCAGGCCTGAACAGGAAGGATGAAGCCTAATTTTAGCACAGGGAGATATGAGCCCAAAGCCATGTTCTGACATGGACCTCCCACAAGATTTTGGATCCCTTTACCTCCCTGCATCTCAATGCCTCAGGGTTAAATAGCATTTTTCTGTCCTTGTCAAGGGAATATTGTCTGTTCTGAAGGGAAATAACTAAAAGGTAAGTATATATGTGTGGTAAAGGGAGATACAGAAGACCAGCTCCAAGGCTGAGAAGAAAGGCAAGGAATGTAGAGAGGTAGGAGGGAAAAGCTCTCATCTCTGGTGTTAGAGACTTTTGTTCCCTGGGGGAACTCCCTGACTTTCTCCAATACAGGCACAAACACTTGCTCATGCTAAGTCCATGGGATTGAGTTTCAGTGACACCAGGATTTCTTTCCCAGGATTCAGAACTCATTTCAAAAGAAGCAAAACATTTTACAGGATTTTCTATTTTAACTGGAAGTAGACATGAACAAATGAATCTGTGGTAGTCCTGCTATACCCATGGTGGTAAGGACATAAGGTAAACTACTTGAAAAGGAGTTGAAGATGACCAATAAGCAATAAGTACCCACCAAGTAGTAATAAAAGCAAAAATTGCGTAAGGAGAGTTCATTATTATGCAACATAATTTAGTTTGGAAGCACATCCTAATGAAGTTCAACCTGTGTTTTAAAACTAGTAAGCAGGGGGAAAAAAACCTTTATAAGCAACAAGGCAGAGCACTAAAAATCCCTTTTCCTGGGCAACCAATATTTTGCCTGTCCTGCATGTAACAACCCACAGGGCCCCAGGCCATTGCAGCAGAGCAAGGGTACACACTGAAGCTTTGAACAGCACTTCATGAGTGGCTAAGAGGTTCGTGCCAAGTGTGGTCTGGGTTTAAACAGCTTGTCTGCATCAGTGTGAGACAGACTATCAAGCTGTAAGAGCCCCCGTTGACAGATGGCCTCAAGAACCCCGTTTCCCCTTTATTTAGACCAGATGTCTCCAGCCTTGGAGGTGGTTCCCATTTGCCTCTCTGCTCTGCATGAAGGGAACGAAGATGCACAAGCATCTTTAACCCCAAAACTGCTGTCCACATACCAGAAGCACTTCTTTTCCCCTTTCCCACATTTTGCTAAGTGCAGCCTTTACAATTAAAGATTGTGAAGGTTGGATCTTTTTAGCACAGCAGTTGCTGCAGGAAACTAACAGAAAATGTATAAGGTGTTAGTTTACACTGACCCACGAAATGAAAAAGCATGTATCAGCTGTTAGTCCTAATAGCTGTTACTAGCTGGGTTGCAGCTCTAGATTTTAACAAACCTTGTGTTTCCAAAATAGAAACCAGAAACAAAGTGTAAGAAAATTCAGCCTCCAGAAAAGTATATTCCTGGTGTGGCCAAAAGAGGTCAGTGAAGGCTTTTTATTTAAAACACTTGAAAGCTGTACGACTAATGAATACATTTATTACCTTAAATAAATGCATATATTACCTGAATTTTGTAAGAGACATGGAAAACTCCTACATGGGTTTTGAGGACTCAGGAAAAATGAAAGATTAAAAAAAAAAGAAAATAAAAAATTAGGTATAAAAGCTACCAGAATATATTTCCTTTGAAGTTTACTTGTAGAAGAAAAAGGGGAACTGAAATAAAGCATAAGAAAGCTGGAACAAACCTTGCAAATAAAGGCAAAGTTCTGTTTGTCTTTGACAAGTTTACCTCAGCATTCTGGGGTATACATAAAGCATGTCTAGTCAAGAATCCAACATACATAATTTCACACGTTACCTTACAGAATGTGAATATAGGGAGACAAATATCTTTGTTGACCCAATCAAGGAACAAGTATTACCAAAGGGAAAGGAAAACATCAACTTACCAGAAGAAAATGACTTGATGATGCTTTAAGATGTATCTTTGTGTCTGCTAGAAGGTCATAGGCTGCAATGCGATTCCTGTCATCAACTACGACACTGCGACAAAGGAAACTGAGACAGAAAGCAGGATTAAAGATGAGCCTGCTGGCATTGCCACGTTGTTTAGGCTGTCACCTAGCTTCACTGCCTGGCTGTTGGCTAGCCACAGCACCTAGCCCTCCTGCTGGATCCTAACTAACCTGCCTGTGGCCACTGCGGAACATGCACTGTCCTCGCCAGTGGACACAGGATCTGCCATGTACAAAACACTCCCTGTCCCAGGTGGGTTAGAGCTGAAGCCTCCAGATCTCACTCAGACACACCCATTTGACCCAGGCTACTGGCTTAAGCAGGATGTGGACAGACAGCTACACATGGATGCTACCTGCAGATGTTTTCACACTGTGCAACATGGTGTGTAACTAATACTCTCCTGCCTGGGCTGTGCTCCTTGAGGAGACAGCACACACCAGTTGCTCCATTCCACTGCTGCCATGTGACACTGAGGATGTGAATCAGCAGCTCCTGCACACACAGTGGCAGCTGGGCAAGGCCTGACCTTAGGAAGCTATTCTGTACACTGAGATAGTCCTCAATACAAGTGAAAAAACAGGTTTGCCTCCTCCACAAATGTGGAATGAGACAATGTGGAAGTTTCACTCTTGTTTCAAGTACAGATCAGGAAAAAGGGTCAGCTCAGGGCTAGGGATGTGTAAAACTAGAGAAATATAGGTCCCTTATTCATTATTTGCTCAAAGCCCGTGATGTTTTATTCTCTTACCATGTTTTATTTGGAATATCCAAGCTCACTAAGCTGTAGGAAAGTCTGGAACAATATATTACAAGTTCTACAAGTTATGCTGCATTAAAGTAGCAAGGGCTTTCTTTGCATTTCCATGAACACTTTTCTCATGTGCCATATAAACAAACAAATATGTTAAAAATCAGCCTAAAAAATGTGGAAAAAAATGTGGGTATTTTGGAAAAAAAAAACCCACCAAAAAACTAATAAAATGGAAGATTTATAGGAAGAAGTTTGGGGTTCAAACTGTTATGTAACAGGCTAAAATAAGAGAATTCCCCAGCAATAACCTGGCAAGGTCACTGCTCCACATGACTGTGCTCTGTATCACAAACACGCAGATGAAAATTATTTTTCTTACTGAGCAATTTCATCCTGAATATCCCTAAGCCTCCATTCTGCCAAACAGTTGGCTCATGGGAGTAAAGGCTGCATGTCTGTAGTCCCCTGGCACTGGGCAGGTTCTCCCAAGGTCTCAAAATAAGCTGAGGTGCTCAGATGTTACAGACAATCTCACTCAGGACAGGCAAAATTCTCTTGTGCAGAAACATCTGCAGTAACCTCATCAGTCAACAAGGATAAAGAAGCATTTGGCTGAAGACCTTGCCTACAGCCTAACAGCCAGAGGATGACTACAGGCAGAATTTCAGAGACCTTTATATTTCTACTTCAGCAAATCCTTTTAGAAACAGTGAGAATACTCTTGTAAAACTGGCTGCTACATTTTTTATAGCCAAAGCCCTTGGATACACTTTTAACTGAAGAAAAACAGTGCAGGCATCTGCAGCCAACAGCGATGCTCTTCCACTGGACATGGAGATTAATAGTTTATAAGGATTTAAGAATAGATATATAAAAAGTAACCCTTTGCATAGGAAAATAATTCATTGAAGCGTAGCAATATTTAATGACCTGACTGCACAAAGAGAATTAAAAACCTCTACAAAATACACAGAATCCTGCACTTGCTTTTAAATCACCTCAGAATTTGAACAATCTACATGGTAAAATAGATTCAAATATATAACAAAGTAGAATTACATTTCAAATGCTTATTTAATCATTTAGTGATTACTTCAGAAATTCTTACCTGTATTTACAACTGTATATTCTCACTCTGCCTTCAGTGACAGGTCCAGGGCTATGTACTGTTAGCTCTGCAGTGTACATCTGATCATCTTCGTTGGCATATTCAAAAACCAGAACATAGCGACCGACTTGAGGAACATTTATGGTCATCTCTAAATTGACCTGGGTCAAAATAATTGAAAAATAAAAAAGTAGTCAAATCTTTCACTCCCTTTTCTTGCAGGAAGCTCCCATTTCCTGCTCTTTTGAGTGGTCAGCATTAGTCCAGGGCCAGCCCTGCAGTGTCTCAATAGAAGACACCCAGCAGAATGCAAGCAACGCTTATAAATATCACTTTGTCTTCTAACAAGTATCAAACAAGTTCAAGAAACAGCTGTCATTGTAACAGTTCTAGGAAAGCTGTAAAATAACCCTAGGAAATTACTATATTATAATTTTTCTTCTCCCCAGCAGAAAGGGAAGAAATGTTATGATGCTAAAATATCGTCACCATCATCTCTAAACTATCCTTAACAATAGACAAAAAATGAGTTTACTTCTCCACTGAAAAAAATATTTCCAGGAACACAAAATTCCTACTATAGCAATGCTGTATTTTGATTCCCTACAAAGAATGAAAGCACCTTCTCCAGCAAACAATATAACTTTTAAACATCAAGGTTTTCTTTTAGGTTACTTGCACAAAGTGGTTAACACAATATTTGATGCAAAATACCTCTAAGAAGTTAAGTACTGTGGTTACAAAGGTTTTGCTTCAGTTGACTACACAATTATTTTCCAATTTAAACTGTTTTTTCTCAGTATTTCCTTAGGCTACAAACACTTAAACATGTAAATAATTCTGTCAACAGCCCTCTTGCCTTCACTGCAATTATTCATACCAGTAAATTTTGCACATGCATCAGTGATGAAGCACCAGAGCCTGTGGCATGTGAGTATTCTTGCTGTTCCTGATATTTTTAAAAGAAATATCCAAGCACAGTAGTAGAGGATACAATCACTATCACATACTTGATAAAATACCTTACTTTTTGCCACACACACTTCTAGTAGATCTTCTCATTTCATAAAACATGTTTTTCTTCCAAAGAAGCAAAGAACCTATAGCAGTGGCATAATTGCTTCTGCCTGCTTTCCACTAAAGCAAATATTTTAGCTAAGTGTAGCTATTTAAGGAAAAAAAATATTAATTTAGAGTGATGTATGCACACCATTTCTGCTGACAAATCATTATGTGATTTTTTTCTGAACAAGCCAGTATGCCTAAAGGAAAAGGATTTTTATTTAATGAAATGTTTTTTGCCAGAGTGGAATGTCCACTCCTGTCACAGTTATAAATCTGCCTACACTGATACTTTTACATAGTTTTGTGTAAAAAGCAGACATTGGTGCAGAGCCAGTTTTAGGGATGCGTTAAGATCTGAAAATCCTGAGCTGTAAATCTGCAGCCATTTTAGTCTGGTAGGTTTATAGTCAACTGCACAGATGGGACTGCAATTAGCAAGAAGGAATCTGACCTCTCTTCCACTGATATGGGCCATCACTGGCTGATTGGGACTTGGCTGTTGCACAGGTATTCTTCTGGATTCTCCCCCGTGTCTGAAATGCACTGCTTCTGAACCAAGGACACAGGAAAATCTGCCCAGAGGCACATGCTGATAGAGCAAGCAGCTTACACAAAAAAACCAAACAAAAACAACAACAAAAAACAACAAACAAAACACAGGATTATTATTGTTTTCAAGTGCAGCAGGATGACAACAAAATAAACCATGGCACTGGTTTATGCTGTAGCATATCTACTGACTGTTCTGCTGAAGCAGGCCTGGGATGTGTGCAAGGCTCTGTAACTCGGATCTGCAACAGGGATGCCTCGTAGTAATCACTAGGTAACAGCACCAAGTAATCCTAAGAACAAAGAATACAACAGATGCTAAATAAACAATGGCAAAAAGAACATCTCCAGGCTTTCACAATGTAACAATGAACAAAACCAATCACATAAACAATTTGTACAGAGGGTATCTGCAAGATGTGGGTGGGACTTTTTTTCTGTTACTACTTGGGCCAATAACACCAGAATGTTTTTCCTTAACCCTGTAGTTTCAGAAGCACGGTATGAAGGTGGCTGCCCTGTGATCAAGGAAACTCTGAAGCCACTCTCCCATCAGGTGTTGTACAAGACAGTGCAGAGAAGGGAGTTTCCCTGCAGCTCAGTAACACACAGCCAGATGCCTGCAGTTTCCATCCATGCAATCCACAAGCATACAACTCAACTCTGGGAGACTCCACACACCAGATTCATGTATCCCAAATGACTTGATTAAAATATCCCATGTAACCTATTAAAATGTGCTTCAAAACCTGGTATGTTTTTGTTCTGCCTTGCTTACTTAAATGAATGTATTAGAGCTGAAGTGTAACAACTGTTAATGTGAGAACATGATGAGCAAAGATAATTAATATATACCTTTTCAAAGGTATTAGTGAAAAAGCTCAGCACAATAATACTGTCACTTTCAGCAAGAAATATGTTTGCAAGCTCTTTCCAAACACTTCATGTGGTATCCCATAAGTTTAACACAGCCTCAGGCTTAATGACTAGAGACACTGCTTTTTATCCCTGAATAAAATATGTACGAATTTCAGTATGCTGTCTTTGTGATCATACATATTCAAGATTTTTCATAAATGATTATGTCAAACAATTTCTCTTTCTCAAGCAATTTCTTAAAACTGCTGCTAGAATTTTTTTCAGTTTTTCAGTGAATGAAAGGGGAGAAAAGATAGTAGGATAAAAGCAGTCAGAAACTGACCTGCTCATAATGCAGCCCATCTTACAATACTCTCATGAAGATTTTTTGTCAAGAAACTAAGGCCTTGGCTGAGCTAAGCTCTAGACACAACATCTGATATGTAAAAATTACTAATTTTTGTGAGTATTTATGCTTTGTGCTGCATGTTAATAATACCTTATCATTTGAAGGTACAGATCCCAGATAGACTTAAAGTCTGTAAGGAGAAGAAAAATTAGAGCAGGAGAAAGTCAGAGAAGAAATGAGAGGCAGAAGTGTGAATTTTCATAACTGTATTCTGTTCCTTCCACTAGTGCTGAATTTCATTTGCTTGCAGGATTCTTCCCAGCAAACAACTGCAGAGTGGTAACTTCATGACAACCTTCAAGCAGTTGTTTTCCTCAATTGTTTTCTTACCAAGAGGACTTCCTCTGCCATTATACTGACAGTCCACGTGCCTGGAGCCAGTGAGAAAGGCTCTGTGGAGCTTTTTCCTGGGATTGTGATAAAAGCTGGCTCCTTGCTGGGTGGGAAGACAAACTCTTTGCCCTGAGCAGCCCCTGCCAGAAAAAAAATCAAGTAAAAAATGTAAGTGACTTCGTAAAATGTCTCTACTTGCTTAGCGAGCTGGACTGATAATTTGGTCCACTGAACTTTGTTTGACAGGAATTAACCAATGCTTTTCAGTCAATATGCATTAGCAATGCACTCGACCAGACACAAAGCTATGCAGAGATTGTTGTTTTCATTCTTATTACTCTTGAGCAAATTGGTACAGAAAAGCAGAGCTCTGCCCCTGTAATGACCAATTTTGCAATATTCTGAAATGGTCACTTTTTCAGTTTTCCCTTCTGTAATTGTCCATTCAACCTCTCTCTGCACTGACTCTCAATATGCTCAGCTGACACATTTCATATTCTTGTGTGACTTTCAGTCAAATACTTCAGATATTGGAGGCTCTCAGTAGCATCTAAAATGTTTACTTACAGATAGATAACTTCTAGGCAGAGATGATGGGCCAACTGTGGATTCCCCATCCCTGGTAGTGTTCAAGGCCAGGTTGGATGGGGCCATGAGCAATCTGGTCTAGTGGAAGGTGTCTCTGCCCAGGGCAGGAGGGTTGGACCTGGATGAGGGCAGGAGGGTTGGACCTGGATGACCTTTAAGGCCCCGTACAACCCAAACCATTTTACGACTCTACATACTACAGAAATATAGCTGTGGTATGCTTTGTCGAATAAAAGTCATGAAGATCAACTGAATATTATGAATATTATGAATATTATGAATATTATGAATATTAAAGGCTTCCTCTTTGAAGATCCTGGACACAGACAAAATCTGGTTCCCTGTCTCCTAGTCATTACAAACCAGTGATGACCACAAACTTCTGCCACTCTGCTGAATGGTGTCTGTGAAGTCTTCAGTTTTGTCTTACTTGAATTTTCAAGAAGATCTATAACTTTACTCCTCTCAGTAAGGCAGGAATATTAAGACATAATTCTGCATATGGGCTTGGTATGCCCCTACTATTCAAAGGATATGGAGTACCTATCTTTTATCAGGGCCTGAAAGGCATCACATATTTTTGAGATCTGTAGTTAGAACTAACTTGGTAGACTGAGTTCATCATTTTAAACAAATCTTACTCATGGAATGAAAGCAAAAGCCGCATTTAAAACTTGAATATTAAAGGCAAGTAAACCAAAGTGTTGTTACCCCTTCTTTAAAAGCTTCATAAAACCCACAGTTCAGAATTTCCAAATGCAGGATCAAAAGTACTAAGTGTGGCAAACATTTGAAGAAAGAAATGTTGATTACTACTGCAAGCAGGGGTTCTCATGCAAACTCAGCCACATCAATTACACAGCAAAAATGTATGAGGAGAAGCATAAAAGCACTGACACTGTTAAAAGTGATGCCTTTTAAGCAACATTAAAGACTTGTCTTGGGTGCACCTTGGAAAGCCTTCTCTGATCTAACATTCATCTGAGCTGTTGAGCTGCTGAGTTACACCTACCTGCTCCAGGCTGAGACTGACAAGCAGATATGTGACCAGACAGTGTTTCACCTCCAGGGTTAATATATCTCAGGACAATGCGAAATAAGTAGAGATTTGATTTTTCCACATTCAAAGTTATCCTCACTTCATTCTGAAAAATGGAAGTTAATAAACAAAAACAGCCATAAAGTGCTGAATTGAGGCACAGTTAGAAGCCATGCAAGCACCAGACTAAAGTCCTACAAGAAAAAGGCACATGCAGACAAGTATATACTGGAATGGCAATGCTGGTGTATGACAGAGGAAGACAGGGAAGCCTAGTGAGAAAATTAATTCACTTACAAGTATAATTAGTGCCAATATGTTTTCCCTCAGCAACTGATATCTTCCCTTTAGAGCTTTTTGAGCCCAGGCTGACATAGTGGAGGACTAGGTGGAAGAGCTTAGGGGAAGCCACAGTGATAGGCACAACCACCTCTGGCTGGGAAAAATAAAAAGAAAGGGAAAAAGGAGGAATGGAAAGTACATTACTTATTACTAGCACCCAAGAAAGAAAAAACATTTGGCAAAGACAAAAGGCTTGGGCACCTTACAAAAGAGCATGGAACAAAATCTCCTGTGAAATAAAACTCTTGATGAATACGAGCTGATCCAGAAGGACACAGAATGGCTGAACTAACATGTGTTAATGTGATACACCAACACTATTTTACTGTTATTCTCCCTACTTGTGCCATAAAGAAAGCATATGATATCAAGGGCTGTCAATATTCCTGCCTTTCCAAAGAACAGGCCACAATCATTGATCCTAGTCTGAGATCCCACAGCATGCAGACACTTCAGTCTGTCACTGGAACTTCTGATCCTCTACCACATCCTACAGCTGCTTAGAGCTGTACCATACCAGGAATGCTGTCCTTGTCCTGGGGCTAAACTGACACCTCCAGAACCACAAAATCCTCTGCATTCAAACAGCTTCATTATTAAGTTTTCAGAAAGACTAAGAGACACATTAAGGATCAGTGGTGGATTAGGAAAAAACAGGAATCTTTTTTTTCAAAAAATCTGGAATCTGGAGCAATCTTAGGGTTTTTTCTTTCCATCCTAAATCCTAAAGCTCCCCTCACTATCCAGTTCCCACATCACAATACACCTGCTGTCCCTTTCCAAGCTACTTGTGGCACAGTGACCTCCCCACCACTGTGGTCCACTCTGCTTCCCCAAATGCAAACATGTTCTCTGTTTCCCTCATCTGAGATCAGAACAAAAAGCATATACAAAATGCAAGAGAAATGCAAAAAGCAGCTGAACTAGAAAGCAGGCCTTAAGAAATCACAAATACTGAAGATTTGCCTTCACTTATAAATGTGGAATAATACTGAAAATTCAAAAATTATCTGGGATAAAAAAAACCCCAAGACCAAAACAACAAAAGAAGAAAGACTGAGGAATCACTTTTCAATAAAGGAAAATAAAGGAAATCATTGTGCAGTGATTATGTGCTGTTCTCCCATGCTATAGTGATTCATTAGTCCCTGGACAAATGGAGGCTGGACACGACTACACCAAAGCACTACTTTCAAGATGAGTGAACAAATCCCATTTATTACTCAAACCTACCGTATTGAAATCCTGCTTCATTTGATCAGTAGTTCAATCCAAAGTCAGAAGGGCCCTTCTCAGAGAAATTATGGTGACTTTCTACCTATGGTTTACTTATTCCCTCAGCTGTTGTTTAGTTTATTTATAGTCCATCATGAAACTAAAATAAACGTTGCCAATATGCCCCTGCTCACAGCTTCTTTTACCGAACCACACATTTCCCTGTTTGCTGTAATGTGAAGGTTTCATTCATAACAAAAGCTGGCACCTCTCTTCTTTACCAAACATAAGTTCAAGCATAAAATTACTTCAGTGACAGCACTGTGAATTTAACTGAAAACCTTATGGACACAGACTGTCATGGACCTGTGCAATTCAAATTATTTAGCCAAGCATTAATCTTCTGCTGTTCCCACTGTTCTTGGCATGACAAGAATTTCTGCACTTAGTACTATTATAGACTTTAAAGCTGTAAATTCCCTCTTTACATCTCACAAATAAACCAACTTCAAAGAACATTTCTGAAGAAGGAGTATTTGCAGAAGCAACGTGTAAATGACCTGATAAAAATATCAACACTCACTAATCCAAACAGCAACATAGGGCCAAAGTGTTTGGATTAGTCAGATCCTGCCCTTTTTTCTGTCTTTTTTCCATGACCTTCCACACACATAGCAGTATTATAAAGACATAAGAGCCATGCACTTTTGTTTTCATTTTCACCCCAAAGTCTTGAGTGAAATACCAGCTTACTTGTATAGAGGACATCTGTGCATATCCTCTCCAACTGAAGCTAGGAAATTCCTGAGGATCATAGCCAAACCGAACTTTCCCTCCTTGGACAGTAGTACCATCTTCAATCTCAAACTTCATGTGGTGCAGATCAGGGAAAAAATAGTTTTTTTCAGGCCTTTCAAGGAGGGAAAAAACCCACAACAAATCAGCAAAGAATTACCAGTCATTTATGATCTACAACTAAGGGCAAAAAGCAGTGGAAAAGAGGTGATCTACTGATGGCTGAGGAATTCTGACTGCAGCTCATAGATTCAAGACAGCTGGTAAGAGGGATGCAATGAGAATTTTCTTTCCAGAAGCTTTTACAGTTTTCATACTTTTTCCTATACAACTCTTGATAGATATATAGATACACATGCAATATTATTGCAAATTGGTTATTGGTTATTTAAGGAAACAAGTCAGAAAATCTTACTACAATATAGGTAGGAAACTGCCCAGGAAAATTAATATCAATAACCAGTGCAATTTACCAAGTTAATTATCAACAAATTCAGAATGAAAGTATAACATGGGACTTATGGGCAGTTTAAAGTGTGCTGAAGCTGTGCCAGGAGCTCCAGCTGGACTCACTCCCGACAGGTCGTGCCCACGACGTGCGCCCTGCACTGGCAGCTGCCCCAGGGCTGGGAACAGGCTGGGCTGAGGGATCCTCCAACGTCGCACCCGCAGCCTGGCAGGCCAATCAGAGAAAGAGTGATAAAAGTTACCAGAAAACACACCACGGCTCCACCTAATTAAACACCGTTAATGACTCGCTTCCTCCTCCCAGAGCCCTTCAGACTCTTTCAAACACAACTTAATACACGTGCATAAGCTGAAAGTATTTTGAGCTCCCGTGTTTGTACCTGTTTCCTTTTTAATTTCTCCTTAGAATGTGACAAAAGTCACTTTTTAAAAAAAAAACTCAAATAACACAACCTGCCACATTGCTAAATGCAGGGCTGCAGTTTTTCAGAACTGGTATTCAAATGTTTTCCTAGCAAGTCAGAATTTCTGCAGCAAAATCACGAAGAATAATTTTTTTTAAAAACCCACAAACAACAAAATCTACAACCTAACTTACAAAAATTACAAGATGCTAATTTTTCAAATATTTAATCTACCTGCCAAAATTGCAATGTACATGTCCACATAATATACATATTTTCAACTGACATCAAACAGTATTAAATGACTTTCTACAGGAGACAGGACTTGTGGCACAAACTAAAGGACACCTGTAGTAATGAGATATAATATGCTGTACTAAGGAAAAAGTATGTCAAGGCTAAAAGTTTCAAGCTGGATTGAAAGGCTGAGTGTTCCAAAACAAGATTTGTATCTTAGTCTAAAAGCACCCTGTTTTCTAAGACATGCACAAAATGACTGGGAAGTACAATGGTAACATCTGCCTTGTTCCTTCTCCTGCTGAAAGGCAAAGGAGTCACAAGCAAGGTTACAGCACCAGCATCATACAGCACAGCAAAATGCTGTGCACATGAGTAATTCAAACATCCCCATTCTAAAAGTACAGCCTAGGCAATTCTAAATTCTTCTGTGCTACATGCAAATGTTGCACTAGAGATGTCCTTTATTCATTTTACCTTGGCAGCCAAAATAATTCTTTTTTTCAAGAGCATAATAGCCAGCTTCACAAGCGTCACAGGAATCACCACAGACATTAGATTTGCAGTAGCAGTGCCCATTTTCCTGTGAAGAAAATAAATTTCATCAAAAAATGTTTCAGTACCTTTCCAGAACTTTAATATCTCAGTACTCTGAAATACTCTGAATTCCCTCTAATTCTGAATACGAAAAACTTTCTAATCTCAAAAAAAAAAAACCCCAAAAAACCCACTTGCCCTGCCAAAGCCCACAAAAACAAACAAACAACTCCCACCCCCCCAAAAAAAACCAAACAAAAGCAAACCAAAAAACTACCCCATTATCTGAACATTATTTCTGTCATTTAACATCTTCAGAAACAGACTAGAAAATATATAAACTCATGAAGAAAAAAAAATTAAAACACTATACATCCCTAGGTTGTGTAAAATTGATTTTTTGATGTATAAAACTAGCTATTTTATGTTCAAAAGCAATGAACAGTACTAAGATTTCTACCTTAGAAAATGTTACTGTAATTTATCTTTGCAATAATCAATTTAATTAATACCTTTTTTTAAATTTCATTTTACCTGCTGACATTCTCCAACTCCACTTAGTGTTCCACTCACATCACACTGGCATGCTGCACAGATGGAAAAAGAAGACACCTGCATTTCATCTTCTCATTATACTTTACAGGGAAAAACCCTACCAGCCTGAATCTGCAATTTTGAGTCAATGTGCCACAATGTGGATTTTATTCTGGAAGGCTCAGATCAGCAGACAAGATACTGGTATGAGGTGAGAAGAAAAAGACAAGGAGAAAGAATGTGGACTTCTAAGAATGTGTGATTTACTGGTGTGTTTTAAAGTGATTTACCTTGTATTTGACAAAAAACAGTATTGAGTTTGAATTTTAAATTGTTTTCTTTCTTTGAAACATTCAGACAATTGATACAAAACAGCATCTTCCAGTCTGACTGGCATCTTCTATTCTGCAGTGCTACTCTGGGACCAAATCAACTCTCCATATGAAATAGAAACCAAGAAAATATTGCAGGGAGGAACTACATAGACCCAGAAGTTTGGAGAAACCCAATATTGACTCTCTGACTGAAAGTAGATAATTACACGGAAAGTGCAGTACTTCATATTTGAGGAGTTGTTTAGTATTTAGAGATCTAAAGTAAAAAATGTAATGATACCATTATCAGGTCTAAAGCTACTGATCCTATGTGGCTGTTGTGGTGGAATCTGTTCCAAAGGAAACAGTTGGAGAGAAAAGATATTTTTGTTATATTTACCCTTTTATTCTTCATTAATTATTATTATCTGCCTGAAAAACACACACTCCCCACTGGAAAACACTGACAATCACAGGTTATTATACAGATATAAACCATAACAGATTTGTCACACCCTGAGGCCACAAGAAGGCTTTACAATCCATGGTAGGAAATAATAGAAAGTGAAAAAGCACTTTTTTTCTCACAACAATGAACTGAATTCTGATTTCAGGGTTACAGGTAAAAAATCCCGTCTCTCTCCAGTAGATCTGTCATAGGGCCATATGAAGTGAATATCATTGTAACTTCAGAGCACACCCTGGTTCAGCACTAGGCAAACACCCATAAAATTATGGCCTGGTTTCTGAAAGTAACTGCTGCTATCATGGGTAATTTGGTGTTACAATTAAGCAGCGTGAGAAACACGCTGTTAACAAGAGTTGTGAAAGCCACAGAGAGCACCACAGACAGCATCAGAGAATGAAGATGACTATGATGATTTCATAAGGCAGAGAAATAGGCCACAAAGCCATACCTGTACATCCCTTGGGGTTGTCTTTGGCCAGGTTCCAGTACAAGGGTTTGCACTTACTGCAGGTAGGACCCTCAACGTGCTGGAGACATTGACAATATCCCTAACAACAGAAAGCTGATATGGGTTCACCTACTTACTAATAAAAACTTACTGCTATTTACTGCTAGAAAAACCTTGTATTGTTAAGAGCTTAATGACTTCCACAGACACATGGATCTCAGGCTGGTTCAGACATCGTAGATTTCTCTGTCTCATACTGTCAGCACAGGATTGTTCCACCCTGTGTATTTTTTTATGCATCTAATTTATTATAAGGGTCCCAAAGGATGTACTTTCCAGTTCTGCTATAGTCTTATTAGAAGTGCTCTAGAGTATTAACTGGTTTGCACAAAGAATAAACTCATCTTTCCTTAAAAATACTAATTAATTTTCATATTTCATCTTTTCTTTATTGGAGGAAGACACACATAGGTCTATGCAGGTACCATCAGACTCACCCTCTAGGTGGTCTTTGCTACTCATTTAACAATGCCTGTAATTTCTGGTAATATTCAACTACTAATAACCATCTTCATATTAATAAAAATAATAGTGGAACGTCAATAAAGATGTAATAATTTTTCAAGAATAATTTGATGCTGGAAGGCCTGTTGTAACTCAGACCCAGAAGGTCTTTGAGATATGCATAGGCTTATGCATATGTACATATGCATATATGAATATATATTATATACATACACATATATATATACACACACATATATATACACAACATCTATATGTTAGTGTTAGGAGTATACCAAAAAGACATAAACAGTATGTATATTCTATATATACAAGATTAAAAAATCCCACCCTTGACAAGGTTTTGCACTGGTATGATCAAAGAACGAAACACAAAGTTTATTTCCACTCCTACACTTGAAACAAGCTCACGAAACTCTTTTGGAGTCTGAGAGCAGGCTTCAGGGCTTGAGCAATGAGCTGGATGTGTTCAGCAAAGGCACATGAATGATTAATATGCACTGTTAGCTGCAGTGGCAGAATACTTACAGAGGAAGAACCAACGCTACCTGCAGGGTCACACTCGCTGTTGACACCTTTATAAAACAAACACATTGAAAGATCTTTTGAAAACAGAGCTGTGGAATGTAGTAGTGCAGAAGCACAATGTAGCAGGTGTCAGCTTGAAAGGGCTTTTTAATAAGGTTACCTTGGAGAGACTCATTTACTTTACACTCCAAGACAGCAGAAGCCTTTAATAATGATTTTTTAAATGTGTACTGAGCCTGATTTATAGTATTTGGGTTTGTATGCAAAGTAGCCACTTGGAAAAACAGAACACTAACTACGGAACTGACAGACACTTTCTTAAAGTTCCTGTGCCAACAAAATGGAAATCTTTTAAATGGAAATATACTTGAGGTTTGTTTTCTTCCATGTTGCAGAAATAGGAAGGAAAACCCACATAAATGTAGGGAAGGTTTTTACTCACGCAAGCAGTTGGGATAGCTGTAATATCCTGGAGCACACTGGTCACATCTCAGCCCAGCATAGTTACTACGGCACAGACACTGCCCTCCAGGACCACATGTATTCCCCAATGAGCCGACAACATCACAGCTGCATTCTGCACAGAGAAAAAAAAATAACAGATACATGTCTAAATCTAAAATTTGCCAAAAAACTTACCTTTGAATGTAAATCAATCACTTGCGTTCAGAAAACCAGACAAACCATAATTTTACCACCAAAAATAAATAACCTGGAACAGATGGTTATTCTGCAATTGCCTCCTCAACCACTGATAATCTTGGTTCGTGCAGTTCTGTAATGCACAGTTAAGAGATTCAGTTTGATGCCTTGCAAAACACATGTAAGGGACATAAATCCATCTTACATTTGGCAAGAATGTCACATGAGAGAAATACTTAAAATAATTTTTAGAAAATATACTCAAAGCATGTTCTCAACTATAATAGCAAACTTCTCATGGAGTTACCACTACTTTGGGCTAGCAGCTGAAGACAAGACCTGTTTTTCTTGAGATGATGCTGGAATGTTCGACAGGGTCACACTTCCCAGGTACAGGAATGGGACCCCATCTGGGCATCCCAGCTGTCCCAGGTACAAGATGAAGCACTGTAGTTAACCACTTGGATGTCATGACTGGCAGAAATGGCTGACTGCAGAAATATGAAGCAAACACTGTCTTCCTGTTACATGTTCATGTTTCTGGTTCCCCCTTTTGGTTCCTCTTTTTGCTGCAGTCAAAGACATCTGAATTTGCTGTGTTTACTTTAACGATGCTTGGAAAAACACAGGGCTTGCTAGGAAGTTAGTGTAAGAGAAATACAAACACTGAAGCTTCCAAGAGCAACACCTATACTAGAGTCCCCCATCATTTGACTATTACATTCTCTCCTAATTTTAGAATTAGTGTTTTGTTTAAAGGCTTCACTTGGATATCACTTTATTTGAATAAAGCTTCTATTGAGTTCAACAAGTCAAGACCATAGAGATTAGTTCAAGTCAAAGCCGCCCAAAAATATAAATCTGTCTCATGTTTGATGATGACAATTCCTTAGAGGAGCAGCAGGCTGGGCTGCTCATTTTCCCCCACAGCTTGCAACATGCTGTGTTAATTTATGTTTAAACCCATGGCAGCTCATTTTAACTGAACAAATTGTGAACCGCAGCAGTTCTGAGTAATCCCACTGACTGTGATTTCAACTATTTTTATCTGTCTTTTACAATTTGTTTCTGCATGCTCTTTTAAGCTTTTATGTCTCTTTTCAGCTTTTGGTGTTCAAAGATCAAACATATTCAATACAGGTTTGATTTGCTTTAAGATTGCTACTTGATTTTGCTCTAGGGAAAAAAAAAAAAGGTTATTTTAAAACCACTGAACAGTGTGTACCAATGCAGAATCCTGATTTTATGTTTCTCATTAAAAATGTTCATCTACTCCAGACCATAAAACCCACAATCATGTGGTGTGTTTCTTTATTCCACCCATTGTGTTTGGTAACACAACACAGTCTGTCTTTGCAAGGTGCCACAGTTTAATCCCAGCTGGCAAATAGGTACACACAGCCACTCACATCCCACCCATGGAATAGGGAGAAGAACTGGGAAAAAGGATAAAACACAGCACTATATACAGTACTAGGAATAAAATTAACTCTACCCCACCCAGGTGAAAACACAGCATGAGGGCATAAAGAATTCTGCTGTCCCTTTGTAGAAGATAAACAACTGTATAAGCCCAAAGGAAGAAGACAGCCAACAGCCAAAAAAAAACAAGAGAGAAAAAAGCAAATCATAATGTTATACATAAATCTTGTTAATCAGTACAGGAAAGCACATACCAGAACTCTGCAATATTCTAGATTCTCAATGGAAAAATCACTAAGGATTAAGGGGCCCCTCTCTCATACACATTAAAGGCAGACAAAACCTAGGGCAAAGTAGGACTTGATGGGAGTCCTTGTATGCACACAAGACCATTATGATACTCAAAAGTTATACTCCATTAATTTCCCTGTCTTTTAAAAACACAGGGTAGTCCTTGGCTAAAGGACTAGTTTCCTAGTCTTGGAAACTCCATAGAGATCTTTCATGTTTCATGCCTACGTGGACACAGGTTGGGTTAGTTCCTGTCAAATGATCTTAAAGTGAGAAACCACCATGAAGGGCAAAATGACAGCTTCAGATATTCAGATTTCTAGAACACACCTTTTACAAGGTACCAAACTTTGGTACCAAACAAGGTAGCAAAGACACTCTGCACAAGCAGACCAGTACTTCACAGTTCTGCTATGCTGGTTCCTCAGCAGTCAAGTGTGCCCTGTTGCTGTGGGCCTCCAGGGGAGAACAGATCTCAAATGCTTTGGTCATTAGTAAGACAGATGTTGTGACTGAAAGTACATCAAACAGTCTAACCATGAGGGAAAAAAAAGGCCTGAAACTGGAGAATTAAAATATATGAGGATTTCACTGTAGGTTTCACTGTGTAGATTTTCACAAGAGGGAGTTGCCCAGTTGCTGGTGTGAACACTGCATTGGCAGCAGTGTCCTGGAAAGCACTGCTGTCTGCCTTTTCAGGGCACTGTTTGATGCTGTACCTGCAATCAGCAGCCTTACCTTGACAGGTAGGGAATGAGTGGTGGCCAGGCTGGCAGCTGTCACACTGAAGTCCACTGACCCCTGAGCGACAAAGACACCTCCCGAAGAAATCACAGACTTCAGGCTGGGTACCCAACATGTTACATTCACACACTGCCAATGAGAAAAGATATTTCAGAGGTAGCCTCTGTAAAGGCTCTCTCACCTTCCTTGAAACAAAAATATATTTGTAAAAAAGAGCAGTAAAAGCAATTCCCTGCTCCCTGATGCTCAACAAGATGACAATTTTCCCATCAGATTTATATTCATAAGAGCTTTTATTGATCGCTCACATCTGTAACAATTCAGGAACAAGGAAAACATTAATGAAAGAGCAATGAAGCTGGCTCAAAGTTAAATTATCAGTGTCAAAGCCCTTGGCCTGGCCCCACTGAGATTCTGATTTATCAATCCCAAGTGGTTTGCCAACTACTGAAAGTAGTTCCATCACTTCTGGGGCTGAAGCGAAACAATTTATGGTTTAGATTTACAATCTTGGGTGGGAGTGGTCAATAAATTGCCTAAAAAGACAGTACAGAGACAGCTATTAAAGTTCAAAATCAGTCAGTTTTCTAGTATTGATTAGATAGGGTAGATTGGTGCTTCAAAGTGAGGTTGCAAACTCGTATTAAACACAATGTTTTTTTTAAAAACACCCCAAGGATAAGTAACAGAAATATTTCCAAAGTTATTCTAAATTTAATCAATGTTATTAAATCGAAACACAAACTAGTCTGGCAGCTGCATCAAACAGCAGACAGCAACCAAGGAAACAGGCATTTTTAGATCAAAATCTCCCCTCACATTATTCTTCTTTGACCTAAGAGTTTTGGGAGAGTCTGTTATGAATACATCTCCATGGCAAAATAACTTCATCCTTCATAACTTCAGTATGAAACTAGGGGATTTGGTGTTTTGGATATACTAGCAAAAAGGGGATGTTTGGCTTACCATGACAGAAGGGGTACTGAAAATAGCCAGGTGCACAGGTATCACAGGAAAAACCCTCAAATCCAGTTCGACATCTGCACTGCCCAGTACTTCCATCGCAGTCACTGCCCAGCACTCCTGCACCGTGGCACTGGCACACTGAAGAGCACATTTGTAAAGAAAACATTTGCAGTATTATGATCCTAAAGTTCTTATTTCCTTTGGAAGCCGAAGGTTGGCATTTATCCTGGAGCACAGGCTCCAAGTGTCAAAGAAACTACGTTACTTACACAGACACTGAGGGCCAAAATACCCTGGTTTGCAGCCTCCTTCTAGTTAAAACAGGTAAGGAAAAGAAAAAAAACAAAGTTAGTGCATATAATCCCAGAATTCCTTGTCATTTTACAGAGAAAAATAGATCAGTACTTAGTAAATATTACTCTTGAACAAAAATACCCTATTTGTATGAGCCTTACATGCAAAATCTAATTCATAAGAACCACTATCTGTAATTGTGCTTAGTCTGACAGCAGAAATTTACAACTTTTACTGAAACTTCCACTTAGACACAGCTGCCTTTCTTATGCCTTCAAATTCAGATACTGCTCATTGAAAATGTAAAGAGCTCAAGATTGGTTTTCTCCTGTTATATTTATTCACCTTTCTTTGAAGTTTTCTTCTTCTTTCTTTTAAAAATTTGTGAGGGAAGGTGATATGCAACAGAGCATACCCAGAGGCCTACCAGGGCAATGATTTTGGATGCTGTATGAAGGTGAAGTGCATTATAAGTATTCACTTAAGTGATTTAATGCTAGTTGTGATGATGTCTCTGTTGTGCAGTATGGTAATACAGGCTAAAAAATATTAGCCCACCAAGGAAATCATTGTATGGATTTCAGACAGCATTGCAGTGAGCAAAACAAGAAATATGAAGCTTTCTTAGAAATCCAAGTCCTTCACTGCCAAGGGCAACATACAATTTGCCAGGTGAGAGAGGACAGTCAAGAGGCAAAGGCCAGTTAGCCTCAAGGAAAAGATTTACACCAAACACTGTTTGTCATGTCAGAAAGTTGTACATGTCAGAAAGTCTTGATGGATCTGTTCTTAAGTGCACCAAACAAGATGGTCAGCCCCTCCTGCAGATGTTTGCTGGAGGCTGGCCAAAGTTACTTTGATCCATAACTCTTTCTGGATCTAGCCCACTAAACTGTTTGGTATAAACATGACAATATGATGAACTTCTGCCAAGAACAAAGGTTCTTTTGAAAGATAAATACCAAGAGAGGCAAAACTACTACTTAAAATCAGCTTTACAATTCTACAAAAGAGCAGACACCACTGAAACAGTGAAAAATAGCAACATGGGGAAAAGCAGTGAAATGGGGACAAAACACCATCAACTTGCCTATTATGTCACCAGCCACATCATCTCTGGGAACTGAAGAAGTAGAAGGATATACAGGAGTATCTTTAAAACAAAAGAAACAATGAGGAGCATTTGAAACAAGCACATTAATTTCATTAAAAATCATGACAAACAATGAAGTCATCTACCATCAATACAGAGAGCATGATATTCATATGACTCTAGCAACCAACTTCAGCTTAGTTTTCTTTCCTTAGGAGAGAGCTAAGACACACTGCACTTTTGATTCCCAATTCAGACACAAAGTTACCTTCTCAAAAAAGCAGTACCAAAGGCCAGACACCATTTGGAAATGCCACCAGGTTGCTTTCCTGCTCCTTATCCTTTTGTGTGGAACGCTTTCTTACACTAGACAGCGTTGTGAGAATTATCTAAGGATCTTCATATTTATTCCACATTTCCTGCTTCCAGGTGAAGGCCCATCTCCTTCTATGTGGCATTACTACCTGATACATGAACTAACATAATTTATGACATCTTAGGAGCTTTTATTTGAGAGTCCTCCAGATTGCTGGATTCTCTTTCCCATTCTTAAACATTCTTGCATTGGGACGGGAATCCAAAGTCAATGAGCTACAAATATCAGTGGGACTTCGTTCAGTGTCTGAGCTGATCAATCCATCAATCAATCAACCTGAGCCGAACTAATTTAAAAATGTCAGAAGATGTATGAGATGTGAAAATCTAGAATGCAGTGTACAGACAGTATTTTATCACAGCCACTGAATTCAAACAGCATTCAATTTTCGCAGGTTTTTTTTCTTTCTATGTTTTGTAGTGTTTTCCCTCTTGTGTTTCTATTGTGGCACCTCTCTTCTAGTCAGACCTCAGATCTTGTCCCAGATCAACACTTGTTTTTTATCAGCTGTCAGAAACACACATCTTTTTCCTGAAGACACAAAACATCCTATTGATGCATTTCTGCAATCTTTTCATGGAGTTCAAAGTTTTTATGCAGCAATCCTGATGCTACATTTTCTGCCCAGTTATTTTATATGTAATTTCTTATGGGAAAAGCATTGTTTATCAGAGATGTAAGTTCCAAATCCTAGCAGGTGTCAAGGAGAACACATATCCATTTTCACCCCTCTCTCATTACAGTCATGTTCTACTTCTCTGTGCACGTGGTCTTTATCCCCAGAAATCCTGACACACTTTTAAACAATTTGTTCAGGGCTTTAGGACTGGAGTTCACAACTCACTGAGGATAGGTTGTAAACTTGATGTCTCAAATGATTTCAGAATTGTGAGAATGCAGCACAATCTCTGTTTTCCATGTCACTATCATTTTGTTAAATAAACCCAGCTCTCATCAGTATTTTAACTGATTTATCAGAACACATAAACATGTGAAGCTGAAATACCAGATTTTTTTACCAAGTCAAAAGCAATGAAAACCACTAATTCTTTAATGCCCATTTAAAATACAGAAAAAGAGGCAATTTCACTTGTATACTTACAGACACAAAATGGATAACCATAGAATCCATCAGCACAGCGTTCACAGTGGTCTCCCTGGAAATTATGCTTACAGAAGCAGCGGCCAGACCCTTCCTCACAGCCATCTGAGTGCTCCAAGTTGCAACTGCAGGCTAAAAAAAAGTACCAACAACTAGGCATTCTTCGGAAAATAATCAATTTGCCTTTTACAGCAGTGAACAATGGCATTGTAACAACAAACCTGCAGAACTCATTATTTAAAGAGTTAACATTTCCCAAGTACTTACATATCACCAATATATCCCTTAAAAGCAAAATCCATGTTATTTTCTTAGAGCATTTTGGAGTTTTTCATTCCAAAAGCGGCACATTGTTCCTCCACAGCACTGCAGCAATTTTTCTGTGGCAACCACTCATTTCTCTCCATGGTCTAGGCTAAGCACCACACTATTCACTTCCATTTACACACTATGACCACAGCCCTGCTGACTTCCCACTCCTTTCAATCCCCAAACACAACATAACTGTAGTTTCCTACCTGTCACATGGCTCCTTCAGCCTGCTTGTAATCCAACACTTTCCTCTTACCTACACTCAGTTCTTTTTCAAATGTTCTATTAGTAATAACCCTATTGCATCACTTATTAGTTGATGGGCTCAGCACTGCATAAGATCAGAGTAGTATTCTTGGTGACCTGTTGAGCTACAGAATAAAACTTTCAAGCCACCAAGGGTCAAAGGATAACTCACTTGTACATCAGAGAGGTAAGAGGAACAAGATCATAAGAACAGGAGATGAGAATGGCTTCCTAGGGGTCCTGAGATCCTCCTCATTGTGGGGTGGGTACAGCATCCCAGGTTTCCATAGTCCTATCTCCTCTGTACCCTTTTCTGGGCTACTACCTATCTTTCTGCTGCTCTGAATATGCTCATATGACACATAAGCTGAGAAGAATATAATTTAAAAGGTTCAAAGCAACACAGGAATTAATTTGTGGCTGCTCTCCAATATCTTTTGCCCACTCTTTCATTTCTTCCTCCCCAAAAGACGCATCCTATGCCTTGATTATAGCCCAAACCCCTCAAGCCACCAGGAGAAGACATTCCATAGAGAAGGACTCACGTATGCAACCATCGGGAGCCCTCACTGGAACACCGTAAGGACGATAGTAACCTTGTGCACACTTCTCACAGTTAATCCCAGCCGTGTTATGCTGTGCAAAATAAAACAAAAGGATAATACAAGATAAAGAGAGGAACTAGGAAGAATAAGAAACAATAACATCCTTTACACTGTTTCCATATACAACTAAGGAGGGGAAAAAATGGAATGTGACTGCAATAAATAACCAATCATCATGTGTTCTTTAACCACCTGTTCTCTACAGTGTTCTGAAGCATGAATTCTCACATAAAGCAGCTGAATTTTTTCCTTAAAGCATTATAAACCCCTCCTCCCATTAAAAAATATATTTGGAAAAATATCCCTTTATATCATAAAATATCTCTTTTTAGGCTACTTTCTTACCACCATATATATATTTCTTGAGAAACTGCATCATGATTTTTTTCTTATGCTACATATTAATTTTCTTGTGTCTAAAATCAGCAATACAGAAGAAACCAAAAACTGAACAGTCCCACGAGCACAAAATAGATTTTCCACGAGAAAAGTGTATGTCTCTATAAATATGTGGTTTAGGCACACCAGAAAAAAAAATCCTAAGCAATTTGAACTACAGCAGTGATGGCAAGTACAAGTTGAGTAAATCATGGTCATGAGGCACCCTGATGAGCTCATACACAAGAGCCAAGAGCAGGAAGCTCTGCCCTGGAGCAACTGAAACACTTCGCCCAGCCCCTGCTCCCTGTCTAGTTCCTCCTTAGGGAGTGCTGCAATTCAGGGCTGAAACACAGTGTTTCCTAGATGGACTGGTGAGCAGTTCATGAGCAGGGCACTCAGGACTCTGCACGTTCTTCAGCAGCTACTGGAGCTCACTCCAGCAGCACATCAGTGGCCCCAGCCAGACAGAGCTTCAGGAAGATGTCAGAAGGACAATGCAGCAAGGTGCAAGTAATCCAGAAGTTATTTTGAATGTATGAAAGACATGCAAACAAGGCAAACAGCAGAATTACAATTCTGGGCTTCTGTAAAGCAGATTTATCCTTGCTCAGAGAGCTGCTTGACAAGATCCTGTGTGAAAGTCTTCTGGGTGGGAAAGGAGACCAAGAAAGGCAGTTGACCCTCATGGACTGTCTCCTTTGAACTAGAACTATTTTTTCCAACATGCAAGCATGGCACTAGGTCAGCACAGACAAACAGAGTTCCTGATTGATCTCAAACTCAAAAAGAAAGTGCATGGAAGGTGGAAGCAGGGACAGGCTACTTGATGGCAATACAAAGACATTGCCCAAATATGCAATAGTGGAGTTAGGAAAGCCAAAGTTTAAGCAGAGTTAGAACTAGCAATGAAGGTGAAGTGCAAAAAGAAAGATTCCAGGAGTAAAAGAGCAACAAAAGAAAAGCTAATGGGGGTAGGGGCCCATTGCTCAATGGCAAAGGAGATCCAGTGAACAAATTTAGAACACACAAAAGACAGGAAGGTGATGGGACATATCCAACATAGCTTACCCAGGGCAAAACATTCCCAAATCAACCTCATGGACCTCTGTGATACAATCATGGACAGGTGCCGTGGGCAGACCCAGGCAGATGGTGAGGGACTGAAGCACATGACATCCAAGAAGAGGCTGAGATGGTTGGGTTTCTTCAGCATTAAGAAGAGAAGGGTAAATTTATTGCTACCCACAACTACCAGATCAGAGAATACAGAGGGGATGGACCCAGACTCTGATCAGAGGTGCACAGCAAAAGGATGAGGCAACAGGGACAGATTGGAACATGGAAAATTTCGATTAGATATTAGGGACAAAATTAGTCATGCAGGCAGTCAAACACTGAAATAGGATGCCATGAGTGGCTGTAGCATTCCAGTCTTTGGAGGTGTTCAAAGCTCGGAGGAACGAGTTCCTGAGCAACCTAATCATATTAGACCTACTCTGGGTAGGACTGTGTGATTTCCAGAGCTCCTTTGTCATCATACCCTAAAGAAACTGATTCTATCTTTGTATGCAACACTTCAGTTATATCACTTCTTCATTCAGGCATCCATTCCTAAAACTTTTCTTTCCCCTGACACAGAGAAAGTAAACTTAAATTCATGCACTTAGTCAATGGGAAAAAAAAACCAAAACCAAAAAACTCTAATTTGATTTAAACCCATTTAATCCAACTTAACTACCACAAAATTAATTATGAACAATTAGTATCAGTCATATAATTAGGATTTGTAGATTTAGACTAATTTTACTCTTTTTTATCTTTGAAGCAGTATTAAAAAGAAATGTTCTTTCATGAACAAAGAGCTGACAGAAAGAACCAACATGGTAAATCTTTCTAGAACATGAACAAAGAGCATGAACATAGCATTACTAGAGCATGAACAAAGTTCTGCACAGAAATGTCAATGGAAAACAAAGAACATTTCTTCTACTCATGTTAGTAAAAATAACTCTACTCTTTTCTGACTGGCTTTTGGACAATATCTGATTATATTGTGGTAACAATATGGAAAGCACTCTATACTAGATATCTGCCCTTTTTGTTGCTTAAATACAGCTATATTTTAAAATGCACAACATGGTAATACATAAATCATGACACATAGATTTCACAGGAACATAAAATTGACAATAATCCTCCTGTAATGCAAAATTCTGGTCAGCTGCTTGTCATACATCAGATGACTTGACAATAAAAGGAACATGGACTTCTAAGTAAGTCTGGATTTATTTAACCATGAGATCACTGAACCAATGAATGACTCAGGTTGTAAGGGACCTTGGGAGGTCAAGTAGTTCAGTCCTGTTACAAGCAGAGATAAGGCCAAGATTAGATCTCTATCACTCTTATTGGATCTTTTCTCACAGTCATTGCTAGAGTAGAACAAAGCCAGAATGAAAGAAATTCTTGCTCTTTCCAAGAATGTGCTATCCATTTATCACAGACACAGTGTAAAGTCTCTGATTCCAGATTTACAACTTTTGTTTCAATCTAATGGAGCCTCTAAGATAGTTATAGAGCTCCTCCTCTCAGTTTTCATGGGAAACTAAGGGAATAACTTTGGTTGGCGTGGAGGGTGAAGGTGCTTAATGGCTGTTTACCTGAGGCATCTCCACAGAAAACAGAGACAACTCTTCCCACATAAACAGCACAAGCCCAAAAGCTATCACAAGCTGCAATTGGGGAAATTCCTACTGAACAGGAGTGTGATTTAGTGCTGTTAAAGATTACCCAGAGTGTGTGTAAAGTGCATCCTCAGAAATTTGCAGAATTCAACTGGGTGTTTCTCAGTGCAACTGGATATAATTTTGCATCTAGCCTTGGTTTGAGTGGAGCACTAGTCCAAAAGGATTCCAGAGCCCTCTTCTATGATTCTGTGCATTCCCAATATCTCTAACTTTCCATCTTGGTATAGTCTAGATCCTCCCTTATTTCTGCTGATATGAGAGAGCCCTCTGTTTTGCCGCAGTAAGGATCCAGCTGGCCTGAGTTGGCATGTTATTTGGTTAATTTTACCTCCTTCTGTAAAGCAGGGAAATGGCAGACTTTGTAACAACAGGAAAGAGAATTTTTATAGCTAAATTGCTTGGTTTGATTGTGTGGTTTTATTTTGATCACACAGGACTGAGCATAAATACAATTTTTATGTATCATTTACACATTACCAAGCAATGTTGAACAAGGTAAATTATTTCCACACCTTTTTCCACAGTTTAAGTACAAGTAGTAATACCATCAGAGAAATGGGCCTATCTGGACTGGTCAGACCCATAACTACTGGTGTGAACATTTTTTTAAACTGATCAAAATGACCTTTTTACCTGGCAGTTAATGCAGACTCCTCCACCTTCATAATGCCCATGGATGTTTAAGCTTTCTCGACGCTGATCAACGTCAGCGTCATAGTAGCAATCAGTGGCATGTCCATGGCAATTGCAGGCTGAAAAAGTAATATTACAAGTCAGCTTTCTTTATAATGCTGGAATTTAGCAATCTCCAGCATTCACCTCCAGCAGAGGCATAAAAGAAGATCAGATTTTTTATGTGACACACACTTAGGCATGCTGGAGTACACTCAAATGCACATATTTACCTATAAACAACCAGATTTTCATACCAAATAAAGTACAGTAATGCAGACATGAAGAAAACGTGCAGGTAGTCTTACCAGAGAAGGTAACAATTGTACCATCTCAAAGCTATATAGTTATGCATAAATGCAGAACTAGGAAGATCCAGAAGAATGGCCACAGAAGGTTTTTTTAAATTATCAAAAATGTGCTCAAATGTTTATTTCTTCATGTCTCAAAAACACATCTGGACTGATGCTATGTGCACCAAACCTTTATTTAAAGTGAACAATTCTAGATAAGATATACACATTTAAATAAAAAAGACCTACACCACAGAATTCTCATATTCAGCTGTAGATAACACTATACCAGCAAACTTGGCTAGATTAAAATTCTGAATAGAAAGGAACCATAACAACAAATAAATAGAATAAACTAATTCAATATCCTCTTTTTTTTTTCATGATTTGATCTTCCTTCTTTGCTGGAGAGGAAAATGGGAAGTTTTTTGAAATAATGCAGGTAGCAAAAACAGGCTTCCCCAAGCATCTGGATGCTAGCTGACCTTTTAACTATAGGAAATTACCTTCCCTTCAGGGAATACCTGAAGTTACAACTTTATAAAGCTATTACTTCATGTTTAGGGAAACTCTCCCTTCATCTGGACCAGTGGACACAATACTCTGGAAGAGAATGGGTTACAGAAGCTAAGGGCTCTGCCCCTCCTTCAGGATGAGGGAAGCATATGGGAGGTAAGTTTTCCAAACTCTATTCCAAGTTCCTGGCACAACTGGGAGCACAACTCAGGGACAAATTATTTTCTGTGTCTGACTACATAATCATACAGACAAGAAAAGAGAAAGTGGATCATTCTCTGCATCTTCTCTACATCTTTTTATCTGAAGAGCTGTGAATAAGGAAGCCTTTTCCTAGAAATTACCAACCACACAGCTGAGGAGATGCCCTGCCATCAGGCTCCCTTATGACAAGAATTGGATTCCCTGGCCAGGATGTAATAGCCTAGGAAGACCTTTGGGTTTTCTTACTCATAAAATTCTTCAAGAAAATAAAACATTCTACAAATGAGATGCTGACTCAAGATATTAAGTCAGAAAAGGAAAAAAAGAGAATATATAAATATATAAATATATAAATATATAAATATATAAATATATAAATATATATATATACACATAATTACAATATAAATAAAACCTCCCTTGCCTCTAGGGCCAAACCATCCATGAGCTACAGCTCAGCTATGTCTTCTAACAGCTATGGGAAATTATATGCTCTGATTACAGTAAGAACACTTTCACTCATAGAGGAATAGAAACCCCTTCTACCTCATCAAGCACCTTTTCACCACTTTGGGACATTTGCTGATCCATACATACTGAGAAGCTCACAGCAAAATGCTGGGCTGATCCCTACAAGCTTCCACCAACCTCTTTCAATCAGTTTTTCTCAAGAAACCTCAGGCTTCTGGAAAGTTGAATAAGGTTGTTTTAATTCCTTCAATACTGGCTGCCAGCTAAAGAGGCCTGCACCTGGCAAATGCTCTCAACAAATCACATCAAACTGCTAGGAGCAATCCATACTAAAAAGGGTATTTTTTCAGAGGTAGGTAGAAATGAAGTGGTTTTGGCTCAGAATCTTGTAGATGATCTTCTATACACTCATTCTTCAAAAAACATGACATTATTTATGCTCTTTGTCTGTCTCTTTTCTGGCAAAAAAATGTTTTCCTTTTAAAGAGGGGGACTTCAATGAGGTTTCAAATATTGTTCAAAAACTGTGTCCCAACATGCCTACCTCCTATCAAACATTTTAATCACATACAACTTCCTTCCCCCCTCCCAAGTCTTAGTACTGCAGTTTTAATTAAACAAGTCATCTCTTTATTCCTCAGAGTAATTATATAGGTACATCTCTTTGGCTTTCAAATAAGGTTCTCCTGTTAAGAGTTTGTACCCACTGGCTATATTACTCTCAGGAAATGCAGACAAGAAAAATAGATTGGGCCAGACACAAAGGAAATGGTTGTGCACAGAGACTGCAATGCTCTGTACCACCCCACTGGTTTCTACCCAGGGAAATACAAAACACCTGTGTGTGACAGTACAAACCCATCACCAAAATGGGTCCATGCTGTTGCATTCTTTAAGAATGAAACACAAGGAAAGTGGGAGAAAGGCAAATGAATGGGTTTCTCCAGCTTGATTATTACTCAGTCTGCAGGGCCAACAAACTCCAAACACCCAAATATGAGGAAGGGAAGAGGTACAAGTGTGGAATCACCAGGACTCCCCACCAGGAACATCTCTGTGCTGCTGTCATGCAGTCAGTGAGGGGCATCTCTCAGCCTGAGAAGGGAGGGCAGCTCAAGCACCTGTGAGCAGTGTCAGCCTCAAGCAGCGTCTCTGCGATCTGAACACCAAGAGGACGAGCAATGGAAAGGAACATTTTGAACTTGTACAAGAAGCCTGTGGTCTCTGCTTGGAGATCCACAGTCTGTCAGCAGACAGCTATGACTGGGGAGAAATGTTGATTCAGTGTTCTACAGAAAGTCTTACCCTTTTCCCTTGTCATATTCTCACAAAAATTAGTCTTTTCACTGTTTACTAAGAAAGAAAAACATAAAGTTCACTGTATTATTTATTCTTCATTGCTGTATGGAAAGAATTTTCTCTATACAGAAAAAACAGGTGTTAAAGCATGCAGCATTCAAGAACATGTGTGCTACAGCTAATTCCCACTCTCTTGTCAGTACCTCTTTTAACCCACCATCTTTTTGGCTACTCACGTTCACATATGTTTGTGCTCCCAGCTGTTGCAGGTTGCCACTGCTTCTGATTATATCCAGGGCAGCAGTGGTCACAGGTTTCCCCACAAGTGTTATGCTGACATTCACACTGAAACCTACAGAAATGAAAGCCTCTTGAAGAAGCTGGGCTTAAAATCTTTTCCTTAAGTTTTTTAATAAAATATAATTGGATTTTTCTTTGTTTTACCACAGTTCAAGACTCACACACAGTATGAAAAGGATAGGACATAAACCCAACATGTAAAGAAGTTCACCAGTAATACTAGAACATTTTGGAAATTTCCTAAAATTCTTCAAGATAGATTACTTTAATCATGTGATTATGAGTTTCTTAGAACACATTACTTAGAGAAAACCTTTATAATTTGATGCAACAGACTGGATCCTGAAACCATTTTATATTATTAAATCAAGTTGATATACAGTAGTTTAGGATATATCTTGTTTTAGCTTTGTTCCAAGGCTGAAATTTGTTGACCCACAGTAATCAAAGTATTTATCACCTTTAAATGCATGCCTTCATAACTCCTCCATTATGCTTTGTTTAAAATAATTTTATCAGTGTTTTTAATAAACCAAGATCATAACTTGATCATGTTATTTTTAAGACAGTGCACACTATTCACCAACAAAATGTAGGCATGCTTTTGATTTATTTAGCTGAATAGCCTACTTTATTGTTATAAGAAAATAGGCTATTCAGTAGGCTATTATATATTTCTTATTCTTACTTTCACAACATTCTTCTATTACATGTGTAGTCTAATAACACAGAAGCAATAAAACTTTCGAGTACAACCATCTTATTTTCATAGATTTCTCTCCTTCTTTACTTCTTTACTACTTTACTTTTCCCTAACACAGATATCAAGAAAGGAGGCACCCATCTCCCCCACTTATTCTTTGTTAAAACACAACTTAAAATATTTCTTTGTCTTGATAAAAGTTTGTTTTAATGTCATCATGGATAAGAGCAACAGCTAGTTTAAAGCAGGTTTTTAAAATATGTTTGAGACAGGCTGATCACTTGTAGCCACTTCCCTGTAACAGGTGAGCCAAGAAGTCTCATTTAACTCCCTGTGAAATCAGCATGGAGGTCACAAACTTGACAGGGAAAGGAAAAAGTCCATTCAGTTTGTCTTTATGTTTTTACAGTAACGATCTAAAGCCATTGGATCTTGCGTGAGCTCAGTTATAGTACTCGATATCTTCATGAAGTTCATGATTTTGTTCCTGAGTTGGACTTCTAATTCCTGATGTATGAAGGTGACATCAGCTCTTTCCAAAAAGAACTATGTGTTTCTAAGAAATTATTAAATCTGCCAAACTTGTATTTCAATTAAAATGAAAAACTGAAGTAAAGACTTTCTATTATTATATTTCACATACAATCGCTCTTGACATGTTTTCCTGCCAACCATTAGCAGGTTCTATTTCTTTTCAACATAAAGAAAAATTCCCTGTACAACTACATAATCCTATAATAAAAAAAAGATCATTTGAAAGCAATCATATGTTCTTTTTCTCAGATAAATGTCAGGCTCCCTTTACTTACTGGTATTGGTTTTCAGCGCTCTTTGGATTACATACTTCAGCATGGCCATGGCAAACACATCGACCACCAATACTGATGTCCTTTATACTGTAGTAATACTGTGGAACAAGCACAAGAAGTATGCATAGGTCTTTTCTTGCTTGCACTGTGTCAGATATATTATTAAACATCAGGTTTGCTAGACTTGGAAGGCCTCTACCTTAAAAATGTGCACTCTCCTTTAGGAATTAAATAAAACACTCGAGATTTCATTCATCTATCCTACAGCCCTTGGCCTGGATAACACCAGAAGTTCCTTACACTACAGCTGTGCTGCTTGCCAAGTAAACTGCATACTGCATTTACCTCTGCCTGTAAACATCTTACAATTTACTTAAGGCTGTAAGGGCACTTGATAGGAGTGCTGTCAAATAACTTGGAATAGCTTTATGTTTTTCAGTGCAGAAACCCTCACACACATTTGTGTGGTGCCTCACCCCAGGGCTTCCTCCAATTGTTACCGAACCTTCATTTTAAATGAAAAGGTTAAAAATAGCAATACAATATGAAGCCTGAAATCTCTGTAAGTATATGAATTTCTGTGTGGTGTTCTCTGTGTTTCCTTCTATTTACCCACTGAATGGGAGTGGAACTTTGGCCTTCAAACTCTTGGATAGCCCAAAATGCACTGAAAACACCTAGTACGGCCTTTGATTTCTGCTCCTTCAGAAACTCAGGTACTATTTTCTGAAAACCTTTTGTGAATAAGTATCACAAAGTAGTGACAAATAGGGCTGAAAAGATTTAGTTCCTCAGTTCTGCATAAGATAGTTAAGAATAATTTTGCTTTGGCTCTTTATAATTTATATGATGCACTCAGCTTCCTTCCATATTAAAAAGCAGGGAATTAAAAGGGTCTTTTAGAAAATCATTAATCATCACTGCCCCTCCATAAATCCATGCTGGCCCAGGTACCTTCTCGTCTCAGACAAACCTGAAGAAAAATATGAGGATTTCAAGGTTGGTCAAGGCAAATTTCATTGTCAGGATGCTGCAACTTAAAACATGCAGGCCATTGTTTGGTCCCTAACATGCTGGGTACGATTGCTGAGTATTTACATCTCAGTGACAACAGTACTTACTCTACGAGTCACAGTGGGGTCTCGCTGAGCTTTGGATATCAAGTGTCCAAGAAGAGTATTAGTTCTGAGAAAGCGCAGGCGGATGTTTGTTGCTTTTGTGAATTCTTGAAGACCAGGGGAATAAGTGAAGTTTTTTGCTCCTGGGCGGCCATTTACCAAAGATACTACAATCTAACAAGGAAGCAAGCACACTCTTGTTAAAATATATCAACTACAGGTGCCAATAGCAGCATAGAGCAGAACTAATAAAAGAATATAAAAACTTACTATTGTTTCTAGTAACAACTGGGCATTTCATACTGAAGTCAGGATATTGGGAAAAACAGTGTTGTTACTCTTGGAGCCTCCTGTATTCTCATTATCCATACAACATATCAGAAAAAAGCAAAAAAAAAAAAGCAAAAGAATAGTGCCTCTATCTGTTTTGAAAACAGTAGGCATAGCATGCAAAAAGTACATTTTAATAGGGAAAAAACAATAGGAATAGTTGCAAGTAGTTGTTTGAACAGTTGACAGTGTCAATGGAAGTTTAGCCTGATTAAAAACATCAGATTTTGGCTCTTTCCCAAAGCACATTTATTTTTGGGTCAAGGCATAAACATTACTGGAAAATATTATTGTTAGCAGGTCCAGTGCCTGCAAGCATATTAATGGTCTTCTGGAAGAAAGTACACAGTGTTGCTTTAGAATATCCCCTCACATGAAAGTAGGTTTGTCTGACTTCCAAAACAAGGGATCCAATACTTTTTTTATTTTTTAAAGAAATAGCTGCCAGCAGCTCAGCAATCATACATCTCTACTGAACAAACAACCTAGTTTGTATGTACAGAGCTCAGTAAAAAAACATTAATTTATTTATAACCATCCAGATAACAGATTTCTATTTTCAAGTAGCTTCTATACTCTGAAACATGTAACAAGGGTATGATGATTGCTTCAACTGCAGCACAATTCCCACAGGAAAAGTCACAGAGCATGTAACAGGGAATGGCACCAGCAGGGTTCTTCTGTGGAAATTATTCTTTACAATATCTGATTAGGAAAATTTTACAGATACTTTACAAATAAGTTCTATTTTAATATGAAACCCTACATCCATCTGCTCAAAACTCTGGATAACCCTTGAGGAGTTCAGATCTGGATTCTAACAACATCAGGCATAAAAGCAGAATGCCAGGAGGAGCCATCAGCACATCCAGGAGTTTAACATTCCTTCAAGTAATACAAGCCACAGTTCTGCCCAGCAAAGAACAATGGCTAAAATCAAACCAGTGTTTTCCAAATACTTTAATATATTATAAACATGTAGCTTTCTTATATATATATATGTATGTATATATATGTGTGTGTGTGTGTGTATACACATATATATGTGTGTATGTATGTATATGTTGTGGTTTTTTTTAACAGCTCCTTATTCTTGAATGGTAAATATCAGTTTCTACAGCCTTTACTCACACGAGCAACTCTGGTGCACTGGGTTTTGCCATGCACATTGGAAGTATTCAGAAAATGTAGTCAACACCTTCAAATGCACATGGCCATAGTGTGGTACATAAATGATGATAAATATCAACACAGGTTTCCCTGAGCAGCCCCTACCCCATAGAGAATGGTGAAAATTACAAGGAGTCAGCTCACACTCCCAAAATCTCACTGAGGTTTAGATTATGGACTTACTAATGGAGATTCAAGCAGTCATAGCTAAAAAAATTACTTCCAACAAACTCCTGAAACCAATCATGCTTGTTTCCAGCATCACTCATGGCTTTCCTGAAAGCACCTACCTCTCCATTTTCTAGAGGCAGAATGCGAGAGTACTCAGTAGTGCACAGGACATCGCTGTCCCTCCTCACAGGAATATTTGCTTCCTTTCCAAAGCGCTCCAAGCAATCTGCTTTTGAGTCTAGTCAAGCAAGAACAAAATTAATTTTATATAAAATAAGCCCTATTGTTCTAATTTCACTTAACAGAGAAGTATCCCCTCTGCTTTCAAGTAAATTCTCCCCATAACAGAGTAATAACAGTGATCGTGTCACTCAGCACAGAGTAACAGACATTCCTCAAAACAATAATCTCTCTTCATAAGCAATTCAGTGGTGCCTGACAAGACATGACACAGTATTTCTCGTATCATCACCAGAAAAGAAAGCTATATAGATGCTCCAAGATTTTGCATTTATATTTCACTTTGATTTTTGCAAGACACTCCAGGGTCCTAAGGGATGAAGGACACCGAAATTCTGACATACCAAAAAAACAAGAGAAACAAAACAAATCAGTAATTTCTAAGAAAGTGAAAAATACACTTTCAAAATACCATACTCATACACCCCTGCCACTAATTTATTGTGGCTAAATAAGAAAAGATAAATGCATTTAACATTCACTGTCTTCTCTTGCAGGTGAAATCTTCAGCAAGCCCCATGTTTTGTTTTGCTGCTACTGAGGAAACAATGAAAGAAACCTGTCCCCAAAAGACCAGTGGCACAAGGATTGATACTTACAAGCAAAATATTGCCATGGAGTGTAAGTTTTTCCAAAGTCCACCGATCTTTCCAAGACCCAGAGATCTGGACGAGGAGAATTTGCAAACTTGATAAGGATATAGGCAACATGGAAGAGCTGGTAACAGAATATACATAGATTTTGTCAGGAGATTTTTTTTAACTCTATATAGCACAGCAGTAATAAAACTTGCAAATAAATACTGCAAATAAATACTGTTTCTTTAGTGTACAGGGAGAAAGTTATTCTCTGCAGTTTCATTCCCGTTAAAATAAAGGCCAGATTCCCAGCTGGCTACTTCACCTGGCAATGTGTTTGAGAACATTAAGACATCTGCAAGAGGACCATGTTAAATACCATCTCCTACACTTCAGAACAGCTCTGCTGTGCAGCTGACTGATTGCTTGGGTGTGTTAAGGGTACAGTACTCAGCCTGGAAAAGTGATATTGCTCAACTTAGCTGCTTTTGCAGCACCCGGGTACATTTGTGATGCATTCCAATCATGTAATTATGCTTGTCGCTAAGGAATACCAAAATCATGTATGAGAAAATGCAAATACCCTTTACACTGGGACTCCCTTGGTTGATAATCCCAGCCACCCACACCCTCATGTTAAGATTATCTTGAGATGAATTTGACACTTGACAGACTTTCCAAGTAATGGAAGCAAGACCTCAGAGTTTGTGGGTATCAAATAGCACAGGAGAGATTTTTGTAACTGGTAGTTCATTCAGTGTCTGAAACAGACCAAAGAGCTCCTTCAGTTCAAGGTTCCCAAGGCCAAGAGGTTCATTGGACTTCTTCAGGTGCTCATAGTGTATCACACAGAGGGCTCCCAAACACTAGAGAATAAATGCTTCTTACAAGACAGGAAGTCTTACTGCAAGTCTCTTGGGCTAGTCCACAGTCATAAAAACCAAAATAACAATAAAAATTAGCTTTACACAAAAAGCTGAACACAGATTGATTCTAAAGGCCATTTAAAAATTAAACCACGACACGGATGGAGTTGTCAATAAAAGTGAACCAACACTGTGGTACACTCAATATTCAAGTAAAGCTACACTGGAATTTCCCCCTCAACAACCTCAACTGAGAATCATCTGCTGGCAGGAGAGTCTTACTTTAAAGGGGGAGAGTGCAGTCAGCAGTTTATCAAGTAACTGCTGCCAGAGCCCCCACATCAAATACAGCCAAGCAGTTTATCTTTGCTCATACCTCACAAATGCCATAACCCTGAAGCTAATACTTTGCAAAGCTTATTAGACTCCAAACCACAAGTGCATACAAGCTCTCAACCACGAACTGAGAACAGCATCTTCTGGCACACCTGGCCCATTCAGCTGTCAGCTGGGAACAGTTCAATAGCTGTCACACCAACTGGGAACACCAAGAGGCAGATGCAAATGGTGAATAATGCAGTGACACAGATAACTCGCAATACTTGTCCTTAACCAGCTCTGCATATGACAATCCCACGGCTACATGTAGCCTCACACATTTATTTCAGACATCAGCTTCTGAGTATCTGTATAATGTATTCAGAGTAGAAAGTAAAACCTTCTCATGGAAAAATGGGAGGAACTCAGGAACTTCATGGAGCATGTTCTCATGATATCACATCTCAGAAGAAAAAAACCTGAAACTTTTTTGTTGTGCATTCATTTAATGTAGAATGTACAACTTCTCTCCAGGGTAAGCCCTGTTCTACACACACACCAAGGCACGACTGCCACAGGTATATTACTTTGCAACCTCTTTCAGAAACTTTCACTTTGCTAAATGTTGCTGACTTAGGTCAGTGAAGAAAGAACCAGGAGGAAAATAACCCAACTTTTCTGTTAGTGTTGAAATTTACCCTGCTATTTAACACAGCCTGACAAGCACCAGCTTTACCTCCAGAGATACTAAATTAGGTACCTCAGCAAACAGACATTATCTCCATAGGAAATATGACTTATTAGACAACAAACTGAGCACAGGAAGTGCCAGCTCGTTGACAGAGCCATGGCAAAACCCAAATCTATGCTCTATGACTGCACAGGTGGAGTAATGCCCTCAAATTGCTGATGGAAAGTCTGATTTTAGCCATTGTCAGAAATAGGTGAATACTTTGGGGACAGCGGCAAGATTTGCTCCTACTGAGCCTCTGATGCTCTTTGAGTAACTCCTGCTACTTCACTGTCAAGTTTCATAGTAGAGATATTTGCCATACAGACATTACATGTTATCTGGTATGGCCACCCAGTGCAAAGGTTAGTATCCTCCTGGGAAAGCATAATGGCTCTGAAACTCCTAAAAAGAAAAAAAAGTGCTTCATGTTCTCACTTTTGGTCATCTGAATTTCTCAAGGGGCATCTACCTGTTCAAAACAGGTTTGCACTGGCAGGCAACATTAATACATTGTCTTTCTTCTCCTGCGTCTTAAAATCTTTGGAAGTCCTATCTTGACATGCATGCTAGCAAGTGCTGATAACACTCCATGTGTTGAATGATACAGATTTAATCAAGACAAGTGGTTTAGAATGCTCAAGAGGAAATAAAGGAAGCATACAGACAATGTCTTGCCTTTTCCAGGGCTCCACTGCTTGTAGTCACATTGTGGAGTGAACAATGACCTCACACCTACTCTTAAAAGAGTGTATTATACCAGGAACTCTGCAAGTCTGCCAGTGCTTAAAGGATTGCCACCCAGCACCGCTCCTCACACATTTCCATGGAAATAGAATATGGAAAGAAAAAAAAAAAGTATGGAAACATGGAAACTTCACAGTACTGTTGTACATGAAAGGCTTTGATTTGTATGATGTCCTTCTTACATCTCTCAGTTTGAAATGCTGCTGAGGTTTATACAGGCACATTCAGAATGGAAAAAGGGACAGGTCTGATAAAAATTAAATCAGCGTTAGTTAATGACAACATGTCACCGAAACATAGTCACCAAGTCTATCATCTGTCTTAATTCTGACTTTGCATGAGTGCCTATGATTTGGTTTTGGCCTGGATCAAGGATGTAGAATGGCACTTGAACATCTGAACTTCCACTAAGCTTAAATACTGACCAAGTTCATGAATGGCCTCTCTCCAGATCTGATGAGACAACAACAGAAGAAAAAAAATCCTTGCCTTAGCAAATAAATCCCACCTGAAGATAAAAGAGTAACCTTGCTGACATAAGACCTAGAAAAGCAACCATTAAAGCCAATTTTAATCACATATTCTAAGATGGAATTTCACTACTTTAAATCTTGATCCTGACCCAAGACCTACCCTGGCAAAAAGGCAGACTAAACTCAAAGCCATGTTTTCCTTCAGTCATTTAGTTATGAGAAAAAAAAAGAAAGTGCCTTAATTTTTGAAAAAAATGTTTATTTGGTTGCTTTTAAGCCAGATTTGTTTCATAAAAAACTAACCATCTCTCAAAAGGAATGTTAAAACTGTAAGCAAGCATTTTGGTATAATTATATAATAGTAAAACAACTTTTTACAAAAGAATCACAGAAATATAACTTAATCAAAATTCTGACCATTTTCTTATATGAATAAAGAACTGAATTTAAAGGTGGAAACAACATTTATTTTCCAGTAATGGAAACAATGCACTCTGGAAATGCATTCTTGAAAGAGGATGTATTACTGTAAGAGTCAAACATCTTATCCTGCTGTAATCCAATACCATAGGTCAAACCTGACTGATTATCAACAGCTGGAATTTAATCAATTCCACATTGATGTGACCTTTTTCCTGTTCACTCAGGTTTGTTCAGATTTAAATGTTCTAGCAGCCAATGGCCTTAAAGATTCATGAAAACCCAGAAATTTTTTTTTAAAATCACCCAATAAATAGAATGAACAAAATGCCCTCCTCATCTGAAAATGAAAATCAAAATTCAGTGTTATGCACTAACAATATTACATTACAAATATAGAGATTTCTATAAAAGCTATTTCAGGTGAACTTAGGATGATCTTAAAAGAAGTCATTTAAATTGATTGAGAACTACACTGTACCATTATTGTTAGTGATATAATATTCATGATCTCTAACAGCATGCACACTACTTACTCTAAAACAATACAAAGAAAACTTCCCATTACCCATTGCATTCTAATGAGAATGCTAAAACACCCAATAATATTAGTTTAAAATGTTTTCCTTATTTTCTTCTTAAAAGTTTAAACAACTCTTTACATATGGAAATTGCCAAGATTTTTTTGAATCATAGAAAGCATTAAAAAATGGATAGAAATTAGATATGCATATATAAAGGTATAGCACATTTTCCTCCATTCCTGACACCATAAACTCAAACCAGAATACTAAAACACTGAAATGACTTGTTAGATGAGTGCTGGACATAAACTAGCACAAAAGAAAAAACACACTATGTTCCAAACAATCATGATGTTGTGTATGCTGCTTCTGCAGGAAAAGACTGTTCTTCCTTTTTGGCTCATGAAGATTAAAAAGTCCTGGACTGTGGTAGTAGCAAGAACACAACTAAATCCAGGTAGACCATCTATGTGAGGTATTCTGTAGATCATTCAAAAGATGCACCAAAACTTCCCTCAACATAGTATGGTTGTTATTGTAGGTTTCTTTCATTACCTTGAATAATGTGGTTGGTGTTGCAGATTTCTCAGAAGAGACAGAAATCTGATATGATTCAGAACACAAATTAAACTTCTCAAAGGGAGACTGATGCAGGAGAGGGATTCAAGGAGTGTGAACTGTGCTAAGCTGCTCCTGAACACACCTTAGTGCCACTGCATGGGGTTGGCATGTGCCTGTCCATTGGTTTCTTGGTGTAATGATGTCTTAAGGTATTGAGCATTGTTTCCTCTCAGAGACCAAGCCACAAAAGCATGAACAGATGAAAAAAACAAGTGAAATAAAAATCCCATATATTCTGGCTAAAATTAAAGGCATTGATTTCTTGATGCTGCAAAGAAGGAAACAGTCCTTTTATTCAAACATCTCAGCAGGACTTGAGGCACCCTGGCAGACCCAGGTACTGTATAAAGAACTCCTGACAGTCAATATTTGTCAATCCCCAACAATGTGTATATATGTGTGTATGTGTATATGTATATGTGTATATATATATATATATA